GATCCTGAAGGCTGACAGGGAGGTCTGGGTGTACATGACGCAGACAGTTCAAGACATTCGTCCCTCAGCAGATGGCACCAGGCCGCTTGACAAGGCCCTGCACGATGCTCTCAGTGACTACAATGTGACGTTTCACATGTTGCCTTTGCCAATGGCCTCTTCCAATGCCTATGCTCCCCTTAGGAGTCGAGAAGATCACAGCAACCGAGAGCAGAACTTTGTGCAGTTTTGGCTACAAAGGACAAGGTTCCAACAAAAAAGGAAAGGGCAAAGCCAAGGGCACTCACCAGGGCTCAAGCTATGCGCCAAGAGGTATCAAAGGCGCAGTGGGAAGAGATGCAAGGGGCAGGCCTATCTGCTTCAACTTCAACTTGTCAGAGTGCAAGAGGCTGCAGCCGGTGCCAGTTGCAAGAAGGGAAAACATGTTTGCTTCAAGGCCAACTCCTTGAAGCCGCATGCATGTAGCTCAGCGCATGCGGAGGAAATGCCGAAACAGACTGCCTGACAAAAGGAATCCATTTAGGATGGTTTCACAACACAAGATGTCATAGTGATTGAACTTTTTTGTGGAACAGCTGGTGTTACTGCATGCTTTAAGAGATGTGGTTTTGGGAACGCCATTGCAGTGGACAAGACGCGCCATACAGGGTCTTTAGCTGGAATCATTTCGTTGGATTTGACTAAGCTTGAAGATCAGCAATTGGTGGAGTGGTTGGACAGCCCAGCTGTGAAGGCTGTTTTTCTGGCTCCTCCTTGCGGCACGGCTAGTGCTGCAAGGTCAATAGAGCTGCCAGGCGAAAATGTGCCCCGGCCATTAAGGTCCTTTGAAGAACCGGATGGCCTTTCTACATTACATGGATTGGACCTGCTGAGAGTGAGTGCTGCGAGCATTTTGTACGCCTTTACTGCAGAAATTGTGGAGAAATGTTGTTTGCGAAACACTTTGTGTATGGTGGAAAATCCGCGGAACAGTCTATTTTGGTTTGTTACAGCTTGGGTGGAGATGACAGCAGCGCAGTCCTTGCATTATCAGGATCATCAAGCATGTATGTATGGCTCCAAAAGACCTAAATTCACTAGACTTTGCGCAAACTTTGAACAGGTCTGCACTATTTCAGCGCTTTGTGACGGCCGTCACGAACATGAACCCTGGGGTATCATCAAGAATGGCGCTAAGCGCACCTTTGCCACTGCCTTGGAAGTGCACTACCCCAAACAACTTTGCGAAGCCATCGTGAAGGCCTTCATGCTAAAGTTTGCTGAACTAGGAATGAAGCTGGAAGGTGTTCCAGGAGCCTTACATCATGCAGCAAAAGCTCTGCCTGGTCAACAGGCCATCTCCATGAAACTGCCGCCGTTGATCCCCACTTACAAGCACCGATATGTCATTTTTCTGTTACACCACCTGGTACAGTGGCCTGAGCTTGCAAGCGTGCCAAGTGAGCACAAACTGCTCCACACAGTGGTAGTGGGGGAAATCGTAGGTGTGGAGCTGCGAGAAGCAAGAGCTTGGCATCTGGATGGTGGATTTTGCGTGGGACAGTTTTATGCTTTTCACTGGTGACTTCAATGAATTTAGGATTTTTGGGGTGCCGTGGGAGCCTACAGAATTTCTGCAAAAATCTATGATGGTGACGCACCCCATGGACAGGTCCGGAGCTTTGCCTACAGAACTGAGGTTTGCCATTTTACAGATGGCCCAACGTGATGCCAGTGAAGTTGCAAAACATAGATTAGACTTTTTCAAATTCTGGAATGAGAGGGCAGAGCAACTGGACTCTGAAGAGCAGCAGATTAGGAAGTCCATGGACAAGACAGTAGAGAAAGCGGTGAGGGGAAAGCGGCTTGCTCTTTTTAAGGACATGCTACAGTTTTACAAGTATCCAGACCTGGGTGTTTTGGACGAGTTGGTGGAAGGTGCTGACTTGGTAGGTGAGGTACCTAGAACAGGCATGTTGCCGCTGAAGTTCACCCCCGCAGTAAGAATCACTGGAAACTCAGTCGTCCATGAGGAGGTCACTTGTTGAGAATGATGGCAAAGGATCTGGAGATTTGGAGGTGGACAGAGCAGTTTGGGAGCAGACCTTGCAAGAGTGCGACAAAGGCTGTTGTTGGGGCCCTTAACTTCTGGTGAGGTCCCTTCTAGCGCGCCCATATCCAAACGTTTTGGTTTAAGGCAACGTCATAAGATTCGTGTTATTGACGACTATTCGGAGTCTGCAGTAGACCAGGCGGTCACAGTCTATGAGTCACCTTCTTTACACACCATAGATGTTGCATGTGTGGCGATTGCTTGTTGGTTTGGAGACTGTGGAGACCATGACAAAGATCCAGAGCTGCAGGTGAAAACGTTTGATTTGGAAAGTGCCTACCGTCAAGTGGGACTTAGCGCTAGAGGCCGCAAAGTGGCATATATACGAGTTTGGAACCCTGACACTTGCTCATGGGCATTTTTCCAAGCCCAAGTATCCCCATTTGGTGCAGTTCGAAGTGTGCATTCCTTCTTGAGGTTTGCTAGGGCAATCTGGTGGCTGGGCACTACCGTTTGTTGGCTTGTGTGGTCGTCCTTTTTCGATGACTACATTGTGATGAGCACACCTTCTTTGTCAAAAAACACAGAGTTAACTGCCTCTTTGCTTTTCAAAATGTTGGGATGGGACTACGCCACTGAAAGCAGGAAGTGCATGCCTGTTAGCAACACTTGCGAAGCGTTAGGAGTTGTCATAGACCTGTCGCACTCAAAGCATGGCAAGTGCTTGATTTCCAACACTGAGTCTCGTGTGACCGAGCTTGTTGCTGAACTGGAGAGAAAACTGTAAATGCTGGCGAGAGATGCACGAAGTTGCTAGATGTTGATTTGCGTGCTTTAAAATTTTTCTCCACACTCTTTTCAAATGGCAAGCCACGCGCAGTCAGTTGGGATTCAAGACCTGCTATAGTAATATACACAGATGCATGCTATGAGCGAGACTCTAAGGAGTTGATATGTGGCCTTGGAGGAGTAGTGGTGGATGGTTACGCAGGAGATAAGTTTTTCTTTTCTGTTGCGCGGGATGCTGAGCAACGAGCTTTACTGGGTGAGCAGACGAAGAAACAAATCATTTTTGAGGCAGAGACGTTTGCAGGAGTCTTAGCCTACTTGCTTTGGAACGAACTGATTTTGAGAAGGAACTGCTTCCTATTTGTGGACAATGAGGGAACAAAGTTTTCCATGATTAAAGGTGCTTCTGAAAATTTGGTGGTGGACACCCTGTGTGCAATTTTTGCAGAGTTGGAAATGCACATTGAGACTACATGCTGGTTAGCAAGAGTGCCGTCACATTCCAACATAGCGGATAAACCTTCAAGAGCAGATGTTACCGAATTGTTGCAGCAAGGTTACAAGGATCACTCTGAAATGGCTGCATCAATAACAAAGGACCTCTTTGCATCCATGAAGAGAAAAGCTGGGGAGAAGGGCTGGATGCGTCGTGAGGTCCCCATGCAAAAAGAGTGTCAAATGCATGCAGCTTGAGATTCTTGTTTGTTGCACAATGAACGGCGATGTGAAATAAGCGGCTGTCACGTGTGACATAGTTTTATTTCAATAGTGAAATGCGTTAGCACTTTCAAGTGAACTGTTGCTGTTATTTCTCGACTGGCGGGCGGGAGGGCCCATCTTTTAGCTCGGATTTTTTGTGAACCCACCTCCTGCCCCAAACAGCCACCAGTGCCACTCCCACAGCCAGAAGGGCTGGATGCGTCGTGAGGCGCAAAAAGAGTGTCAAATGCATGCAGCTTGAGATTCTTGTTTGTTGCACAGTGAACGGCGATGTGAAATAAAGAATGTCATTTTTGTACGTTGACAATGAAGGCACGAAATTCAGCCTTATGAAAGGCTTTTCAGAGAATGCAACTGTAGATGCGATGGCACAGATTTTCATTGAAATTGAGACTCATGACAGATCAACTTGCTGGCTTGCTAGAGTCAACTCTTTCAGCAACATTGCAGATAGCCCTTCAAGAGGTGATTGCTCTGCGTTGAAGGAGATGGGATTCAAAGATGTTACTGAAACTGCTTTTAAATGTCTCAATACAATCTGCATGTCCATGATGGCAAAATTGGGGGAAACGGCTGGACATGCAGTGCCCAAGTCATAAAACAGAGAGTCCTGCCCTGCCCATGAGCGTCGGAGTTGAATAACAAAGAGTGACGTGTGACTGTTGTTTATTCATGCAGTGATTTGTTGTCACAAATCAAGCGATTGGCATTCTTGGCTCAGGGCGGGAAGGGTGGGACCGGCCATATTTTTGTTGGCGAAACCCACCACCGTCCCCTTGCACCACCTTCAGCAGTTTCAGTTCTTCAACCTTCAACTTGTCGCTTCGCTGGACATGCAGTGCCCAGGTCATAAAACAGAGAGTCCTGCCCATGAGCGTCGGAGTTGAATAATATAATGTTTTTTTTCATATATATTTGTGCGTTGATACTTGCACGTGACCAGTTGAACTTGGACATTTTGATGTCCAAAAAACTGTTTACGAACAAATATATTTCGTTTTGTATAGCCATGCCAAAATGGTTTTCTTTCACTAGACGCACTGGCAAATCAGCATGGCATCCATATTTGTCCAAATGTTCAACCTGAGGCGATGTCTATTTAGTTGAACAATCTATGTACTTCGTTGTTTGAAGTGAAAAACAAAACCATGATTGACTTGGAATTCTGCATTGCCATTGTCCTGTTGTCAAACGAGCCATGTACATTTGTTGATTCGTTTGGCTTATGCTCACAGCCTCGACCATGCACGGACACTTGATCACACACAAAAACAGTCAGTGCACGCACATAATTCACATTCAAGCAAACATGTACTGCACGTGAAATAGAAGTTCATGTGACATGTGAATAAACATAGTTACTTAAGCATTTTGTTGGATTCAAAATTGGTTGGTTGCGTGAACAAAGTGTGCAGGGCTAGTCAGTAGTATTATTGTCACATTTTTTGACGAGAAACCATCTGGGAGCAACCATAGGCTGCTGGGTCTCAAGCATGTCCGCTTCCACGGCGTGTCTCTCAGTCATGCACGCATGGTGTTTGATTTCCCCTGAATCAGATACAGTTGCTGAGGTGGATTTTGACGTCGGAATGAAACCCGTTTTGTTTGCAGCTTAGAATAGAGCTTCAAGTGTCATCCTCAGATCCATAGGTGACACATGATACATGCATACAATGTTTGTAGGTGCCGGGATGTCGACAATGTTGAAGAACATAGTGAAGGCCAAAAATGACACATGAAGACGAAGGTGTCCCAACTTGCACCAAATTTGTTTTGATTTGTGTTTGAAATTGTTCCTGTATAGAAATCATAGATTTGTGCAGGTGAGTTTGCGCCAAATTGCAATCAAACTGGTGAAGAGACACCTGTCCATCCGCCTGATTTTCGATTTTGGATCAAACTATTCAAATGTTTGTGTTGCTGAATTCAGCAAGATTTGATATGAACGACCCATGCCAGGAAACTGGAACTCCTCTGACACGCTCCTTGAGCCCTTCCAGGCAGTTCGAAGTCTGAAAATGAAATTACGTTCCTTTGCAGCCTTTCAACGTGATACGATTCAGCGTCGCTCCGCTTTGATCATGTCAGCATCTAAAGGTTCCGATTGACACCTTCACGAATTGCGGTGATCAACACAAAAAGGGCAATATCGACTGATGCTTCTTTTACGAGTCATGGATCCGGGCAGATTTTTCCAACTATTGCTACACAATTGTGTTTTTGGACGTCTTATGTGTGAAAAAATTGCGACCAACATGGCATTGCAGTGATGGTGGTGCTTCTGCTGCTGATCGGTCCGAGCGCGCTCCGAGCCGCCGCATGCATCCCAGCGAATCTGCGTTTTGCACGCTTGGTTTAAAACCCGTACCTTCCAGATTTATTACAACCTATATGGTGCTGAGCAGCAGCTCGGTACAGCGTTGGTAGAGCCAGCACCTAGAATATGAATATGAATATGAACATGAATATGAATATGAATATGAATATGAATATATGTGTTATAAATTATACATATAGACATATAGATGTATATAAATATTTCCCTGTGCAATATCCTTACCTATCCTTACCATACTGTACTTCCATTTAACTCCAATTCGTTGCTTCATTCAGACTATATCTACGGTTACCGTATGTCAATTTCGATTCCTTGCCTTTGGATTCAGAAACATCGTCTCGAGGTCACCAGCGTCTCCATCTCAGTTCTGCGGGACCAATGGTTAAATGACATGTCGACCGACCCGATGACAATTTGGACATTTTTTTTTGGATGACATTGTGACAATTGTGACAATTGTGACAGGAAAAAAGAGAGGCGCTTCTCATGAGTCGGTTGATGCAGGCACCCTTTTGGTGACTCCAAATGTTGCCGTTTTTTTAATCGTTGTATACGGACTTCCATTGCATTGTTGTGAATCGTCGTTTGGACTTTTGACTTCCATGGACTTCCATGATTCAAAAAACGCTTTGTGAGGAGTTTCTACTGTTGCAAGAACAGCAACCAGCCTAGTTTTGGAGTGTCTGAATGCTTCCAGTTGTTGATTTTTCCCTTCTAATTAAATTTGTTGGCTTCAATGTTAGACACAGGAGATGAAATGTCAATGTGTCAAAATTTTGTCACAGTGCTGCGGATATTTTCCCTTAGCAACTTGTCCAACTTTCTCTTCGACGTGTTGAAAACCGAAGAGGAAACAGCAATGCTAAGGCCGATGCTTCTGAAGCTCCAGACAGTACATACCTTGGCAGCTATGACTCTTAGATCCTTAGAGTATTTAGAGTCCTCTGCATGTATCGCTGCGTGTGGATTTGACATTTCAAAGCACACTATTGTTAAGGACATGTCCCCAATATTCCCCAATCAGAAACTCAGGTGTTCTTGAAGACCTGTCCGAGTCGTATCAAGCTGATGTGCTGCGCAGCAGCTCTGATACAGAGGCGCTCAGTCACGTGGGCAAATGTCGGAGTTCAATAAGTTGAGTTGGTTGTCTGATAAGGGACGAGAAAAAGATCGCACGTCGTTTTGTTTTCGTTCTTTGTTGGAAAGGTGTCAGCATCGGACTTGAACCAACGCGTTGAAGTTGAGCTCTGCCAAGGCCTCTGTCCGTGGCCGGAAATCCACCTCCAGGAGCACTGGAGGCACACATTTGACCATGCAATACAGTACAGTGACCATTTATACAAAAACGAATCTGACAATCTACGCCTTCCTGGCAACTCTGTGACCATTTGTGATCCAGTTCACCAGAGGTTTGTTTCGCGTTTTCTTTTATATTGGGGCGTTTTTCCAGAGTTTTCGCAGATTCTGACTTGCCAGGTGCAAAAGTTGCAAGGCCCAAGACTGTACCTCTGCCACTGTTTGCTCCACAGTTGATTTATTCAATTCCTGCATTTCTGGAGGGTTCTAAAGCCTTTGTGCCAGGTGCGACCTGCCGGAGTGGTGGGGCATGGTTTTCAGGCCATGCTGATTTCCAGCCCTTGCTGTGCCAATCCAGGACACCAAACCTCACCAAACAGAGGACGTATGACATCCATTCTATTTGGTTCTGTAGATCGCAATGCATGACGCCGCCCCTGCTTCAGGTCTGCCCCATCAGAGTCATGGGCTTTCCCCAGGCGCTGTTCGGTACATCGACTAGTGAGATATTTTGGTAAACCAACAAGTCTGATCAAGTCTGATGGCAGGGGCGCATCCCGTCTTTCTTTTTTGCCAGGCTCCCTTTGGTGTGAGCGATCCAACCTCAGTGCCATTTTAAGATAAGACTTTGCCATGCGTTGCCAAAGGAGTTGGTGATGGTGATGAGTCGGTATGGCAATTGATGGCATCTTTGTTTTTCTGTTTTCTGTTCCCAGGATTTCTGTTTGCGTGGCCTTTTCGGCCATCCCGACGAGTTTTGAGACGGACGGTGCAGCAATGTATATAACGTGTGGCCGGAATGACAGGATCTGGAGAGCGCAATAAATCATTTTCCGATCGGGAAATCATCAAGGTGGGAGATAAGCAGAGCATCGCATGCAGAGCACAAACTGGAGCATTTGGATCCAGAATTTCGTCAGACGACTGACCGAATAGACTCGATGTGGGCTTGGGCTTCGGGGGAAGCTCACAGGTGCTGGCCGCACCACCCGAGAAACATCAGCGCCTGCTCGAGACGGCAAAGCGGTTGCCTGAAATTCTGATGGCTAATGGCAAGTCCCTTAGATGCCTTCCTTGATGCAGGAATTGCATGGAATATCATGGAATTTCATCTGCACTTCCAAGAGCAACACGCCTGTGCAAAAAAAACAACTCTGGTTGGATGTTTTTGATTCTCGGCCAGGCAAGTTTGCTAGACTATTTGAATCTATTTGACATACCGAACCAGTAAAGCTGCAACATGAACAAGAACTGATGGCTGAGATCCTCCGTTGGCGAATTCAGCGGAGCTCTATGGTTCCCTGGCGCTCATGTTCCCCCCTCAGTAAGAAAAGACAATGGTCAGAGCGACTTTGTGGTCACGAAGATAGATGCGAAGCAAATCCTACTCAATGCAGCATTTGTTGGAAACTTTGCCTCATAAGTAATGCAGGACAGAGTCCGCGCATTGGCGGGATCAGGAGTGGTGATTGAGTGGTAGTTTGCGCTACTGAACTGTTTGGCAGACATATGAGCAACAACCATGTTTTTTTTGAGGACGGGCCTGTGTGCTACGTGAACGGCCAGTCAGACGTGGACTTTGTGGTTGACATGAGGAGTCTATCCTGCACTACAGTGTAGGTGGGCCATATAATATCATATAATAATGAACATACAATGTATATGTATATATATTCAAGCTGTCAACCTTGATAGCGATTTATCTGCAGGTGTGAGGCTGGGATTCCAGCCAGGTGGCTCAAGGCTGTTTTGTCAATGCCTGTCAAGTTGCCTGTCAAGCCTTGAACGGATGAGCAGCTTGGATCCTTTACGCAGAAACTTCTATGCTGATTCAAAGGCAGATGCTCTGATGATGCAATCTGCAAGTTCAACAAGCTCAACATCAATCTCAGTTCACTTGCAATGCAACTTCAACATGTGGATTCCAACATTTCAGTGTCACAATGTTTTTCTTTTGTAGGGGTGCCAACAACTCGCCGGGGGGTATACAGAGCAATGGATGATGGGGATGACAACGTCCCAATGCGTGGACTGCGCCGGAAGTGGAGGAAGATCAGCGACGATCAGTTGCCTGGACCTTCAGTTGAACCTTTAGTAGATGAATGTCAAGAGCATGCGTCGTTGGACAACTCAGCTTTAGATCATGATTTTAGTTTTCTGGCTTCAGATGAGCTTGAACTCTTTGGAGGGAACCCTGGCGCTGAGCTTACCCCACATGAGTCCAATACTCAGTATGAACCTTCTTTGGCGGCCTCACCATCAGCTGGGCATGACACTCAGGATGTAGGTGGCAAGAGCTCATTTGCAGATGACAATGCACTCATAGGAGACCAATACATACGTCATGCAAAGATGTCACGGATCACGCTTCCATGGGAAACCGCGTTGATGAGACAGATCTTTGGGGACTTGTCGCCTAGTGCAAATCTCGGTATGCCACTTGACTGGGGGTCGACCGACCTTGGAAGTCCAGAACCTCAGATCGGACGCGTGACAGAACCTGTTATTCCTTCACAGTGTAGGTGGACATGTGCAGTCTATGTCAAACATAAGAGCGACACGTCATACTTGAAGCAGAGGGACAAGACTATGGAAGGTGCGCTTCAGAAATGGAAGTTTTTGCTGTTGCTAGACCCTTCGTTTTCAGAAGTTGGCCGGCAGCTTGAGTTGGAAGATGAAGACACGCAGAATCTGGTGTTGTGCTCGGTGATGGGTGTGAAGTCACCCAATACTGTGATGAAAAGAGCAAATGCGATCATGATGTACTACAGATGGCATGCAATCCATGGACATTTTCCTTTTCTTCCTTTCAACGAGAGCGATGTGTGGCAGTTCGTTTTGAGTCAGCAGCCCAACCCTGTATCAGCCTCGCGGTCACAGTCCTTGGTGCAAGCACTTAGATTCTGCCATCACGTCCTGGGTTTTGAGAAGGCTTTGGAATGTGCAAACTCTAGGAGGATTGTTGGACAGTCCCACATTCAGATGTCGCTGAAGTCGCCGGCCAGACAGGCGAGGCCTTTGAGCGTGGCTGAAGTGAGAATCCTGCATGCAGTCGCGGATGGCACAGAGCACTCAGCTGTTGACAGATGCATTGCTTCTGGCATTTTGCTGGCACTGTATGGAAGGTGTCGAGTTTCAGACACAAACTTTGTGCATGAGATCCTGCATGATGTGACGAGCGATGCAGGGTACCTGGAGGTGACAACAAGGTATCACAAAGCGGCACGGACGGCCCAGCAGAAGGCTTTGTTGCTGCCGATTGTGATTAGCTGTGCAGGTGTTGTCAATTTTCCTTGGATTCACTCCTGGATAGCAAATCGAAAGGCTGCTGGATTGCCCACGTCAGGGCGAATTGATGGGGCCCTGATGCCCGCGCCATCGTTGGGCGCTTTCCCAAGTTGGCTGCAACGGCCACTTTCTCCGGGGGAGGTGACCAACATCCTCCGAGGGTTTTTGAAGTCAGATGATGGAAGTTTGACCAGCCACAGCCTGAAGGCTACAACTTTGAGCTGGGCTGCCAAAGCCGAAATACCTCGCGAGCAGCGTCGTATCCTCGGACGCCATGCGTCGACGGTTCAATGTGCAGACTCTTTTTACAGCAGAGACATGAGCATAGGGCCAGTGAACTCTTTGAAGAAGGTGATTGACAAGATCCGCGGTGGTGAGTTTTGCCCCGATGCTTCGAGGGCCAACTACTTCCCAAACATGCAGGCAGCTGCAAGTGGAACCCCGGCGCACGTTGTGATGCAACCATTCACACCTGCTTACCTTGAGAGGCGACAGCCGGGTACGCCAGGGCTGGATTCTGCAGTCCCACAACAGGAGGAGAAGAATTCGGCCTTGGCTCCGCCTCAATTTTGTGGTGAAAAGGTCAAGACAGAGAGCGGCTGGGAGCTCTTGGTGGCCGGCACGGCCCCCAACATCATAGAGATCTCCTCTGATGATCAGAGCGAGAGCTCCGACAGCGACACTTGTGAAGGCACGTCAGGCGACGATGAGCCCATCGATCTGGATGAGGTTGCAACGGTGGGGCCTGGCATTGGGCAGCAGGAAGAGCTGCAGGAACCTGCGGTGATGGCTAAGAACATGAAGACGAAGATCATCCATGAATGTCGTGGTGACTATGCTGCAGCTGTTGACGGACCAGAGGCCTTCACAGCATGTGTTGTGGGAAAGTTGACAAAGTGTGGGAAGATGGTTACCAGCAACTACCAGTTGCCGAACACACAGGTCGACTGGACGGCGAAGTGCCGTATCTGTTTCAAGGGGCGCAGAGCGCCGCGAGGTCTCACTAATCAGTGAGTCTTCAAACATGTTTCACTCGTGCATGGCTCTGGGCAAAAGTGACTGCACAGTGTCGTGCAGCATGGCATGATATCACCAATGTGGTGGATTCAGATGTGAATTTCTGGTGAAAACACTGCATTGCATTGATTGATGTCCCAGTGCATGTTCCTGATGTCTTAATGTTTGATTTGTTTTGGCTGCATTTCTTTGATTGCGTTGTGCACCATCCTCTTTCAATGTTGGAGTTTCATTTTAATTTTTGAGAATGGGCAATGTGCTGAGTGGCAATGTGCCAAACTCATGAACAGTTGCGATGTGCAACACAGCCACAATGTGTGGTACCGCAGCGATGTGCTGAGGAATGATCATGGGAGGTTCGAACAATTTGCACACGAATCCATTAATGACACATGTTCCGACTCCCATGTCTCCATGATCCATTTCACGCCACTTGCATTCACATGACTCCTACTACGTTTTCAATAACACACTTTCTGATTTCCTTAGATTAACCTGACTCTGGTGCAATGACTTCGATAGTTGACTCGAAGGCACATTTTCTGAAGAGATGCAGTGATATGGGCATGACTGAAAGGGCGATACAGTATTTGACCCAAGGAAACGTTGACACAATGGGCAAGGTTGCATTTGCAGTTGGGCAGCCTGGTCATCCATTAGACCAGGCGGAGTTTACCGCTTTTGCGCAGAACACCTTAGGAGCTTTGATTAATCAGGCTGATACAGCCGTGTTGAAGAGATTGGTCTTCGAGGGCCATACACTGGTGTTGGGGCAGCTGAGGGAGCTGGTGGCAGACCCGAATGCCGCCGCCTCCCGAAAGCTGCCCGCAGTTGAAAGGGAGCACCGCATGGGCCAACTCAAGCAGAGGCTCAACGGTGTGGTGCTGGAAAGGCAGTTGGAGCCTTCGCATGAGCTGCTCGAAACAGTAATGCAGCAGAAGGAGGCCAATCAATTGGTCTACATTCAGCTTGAGCGGTGCACTTCAAGGGAGTGGGAGATTACAATGGGCAAGAACAAGAAACAGATATCCCTTGACTCAGAGAAGTTGATTGTCAAAGAGCGCTCGGAAGTACCAGATCAATTTCACAGTTCTGAGCTGCAGGCCTTTGAGGCCTTACGGAGGCGGGGGGTGGCACTGGCGTTTGCAGACATCCTTAGCTGGGAATGTCATGAGAGATACTTGCAACAATTGACATCGCATCTACGTCAGGATCCCCCTGCAAACTATCTACGCCCAAGCTTGCCACAAGTGTTGAAGGCGGACAGACAGGTGTTCTTGAACTTGATTCGAGCAGGTACAGAGTTGAAGCGGCGACCAGACGCCACCCTGCCAATGGATACAGCGATTTTCACTGCACTGGAGTCTTATGAAGTTGGATTTCACCTTTTGCCTTTACCAAAGGCTGCCCAGAAAGTTGAGCAAGGTCCCCAGCAGCAGAACGCGCCATCAACTGGCGCTGCGAAAGGACAATGGCAGTCCTACCGGCCCCATCCTTACAAGGGCAAGGGCTCATTCCATGGAGGGAAGGGCAAAGCAAAGGGAGGAAAATCTTTACTCCCAAAGTTCCTGCTGGGGCGTGACAATGCTGGTACTGATACACACGGCCGTAGGCTTTGTTTCAACTACCAGCTCAACAAGTGCACAGAGGCAGCAGATGGGGCAGAGTGTTCCAAGGGGTGGCATTTGTGCGCACGACGTGGTTGTCATGCTCCTCACCCTGAGCAGAACCATGACTCCAAGAAGAAGTGACAGTTTAGCCGCATCAGCAGACTTGTGGAAGCTGGTGCGGCCCTACATCAATGCATGATAGTGGAGATCTTCGCGGGGACAGGGCGTGTGACTGCAGCCCTCAAACACTTTGGAATGAGCGGTGCATGTGGTACCGATCACAAAAGACATAAGATGGCGATGTCGCCGATTGTTCTGGCGGATCTCTCCACTGAGGCCGGCATTGAGTTGTTGATGCAGTGGCTTTCAAACGAATTTGTAGTAGGGATCTTTTTGGCACCGCCCTGCGGGACAGCCAGTCGAGCTAGGTCAATTCCCATGAAAAGGAAGAGACCGGGTGACCCTATAGCACCACGTCCTTTGCGGTCGGACAGACACCCGAACGGAGTGCCATTTTTGACCTTCATCGACCGCATCAAAGTTTGTCAAGCAAACAAGTTGTACCACCTGACGGCCAAACTGATCCAATGGGCAGTTGACACAGGCTGCATATTTTGCGTTGAGAATCCACAATACAGTTTCTTTTGGCAGACAACTTTCATTCTTGAAGTCATACACCACTTACAATTTACAACCTTTCAATCTTGCAGGTACGGCAGCAGGCGACCAAAAAGAACCATGCTTGCTTTCAATGTGGAGGAATTCACAGTCATCAACAAGATGTGTGAAGGAGTGAGCTCCACTCATAAACATGATGGGTGGGGGCTGGATGCCAAAGCCAACCAGTTTGCAACTGCGATGGAAACTGCCTACCCGCTGCCGCTGGCCAGATTAATTGCATCTCAATTTATACTTGCATTGCAGCGCCTTGGCATTGCAACACCTCCTGAGACTCTTGAACAAGTCTCTGGTCATGATGGCGCAGTGCTTGCCGCATTGCGAGCCCAGGCCGGAAACCAGCCTAAGGCCACCAAGTTGCCTCCACTCATACCGCATTTTGCGGCCAAAGTTGCACTTACGGGCTTTCGCCAAGATTTGCCCGCTTTCGACTTGCAGCAGAAGCTGAAACAGCCTCTGCATGTCCAAAGCTTCAATGCGCCCACACAGTTGCCAAAGGGCGCCAAGTTGCTACAGCTTGCACCAGCCATGTTGCCCTCGACAGTGTTGCAGGGGGGTGTCTTTGTGTCAGGGCAATTTCTGACGCAGGAGGAGATTGACAGAACCACTTCTCTGTGTGCCACATCAGATATTTGCAAAACAGGAACATCAGAGACGCAGATCTGGGGGTTGCCATGGTCGGAGGATGACTTTGTCAAACAGATGGTCAAGTTTGGCCACCCTGCCAGGCTTCAATCGAGCCTTCCTGACGTCCTGAAAGACACAGTTGAAGTTTACAGAGCCATGGATGCTCATCAGAGGATGTCAGTGCGGGCAGCCAAGCTTGGATACTGGCTGAAAGTCCTTAAGGACCTGAAGGCTGATGAGATGGAGATGAAGCGAGCCATGGACCCCGAGGTTGCTTTGGTTTTGGCCCCCAAGAATGTTTGTCTTTGGGAAGCAATGTTGAAGTCGGTGCAGTATCCCGACCTTGGAGTTGTGGATGAGTTTAAGCAGGGTTCAGAGTTGGTTGGATGCGTTGACAGAACAGGGCTGTGGCCAATGAAGTTCCAGCCAGCGGCAATTAGTGTCAGTGAGCTGCATGAGATTGCCAAGAAGGAGAGAGGTTTGTTGCGCCAACAATTTCACGCGGAAGGTGATCCAGATCTGACGGAGGAGGTTTGGAGAAAGACAATGGAGGAGGTTGAGTCTGGCTGTCTTGTCGGACCGCTTAAACTGGACGACATCCCTTCTGAATTTCCTTTGAGCAGAAGGTTTGGAATCAGACAAGGTGGCAAGGTGCGTTGTATTGACGATTTTTCTCGTTCATCAGTGAACGCCAGCGTGCAATCAACTGAGAGTCCCAAACCTCAGACTCTCGACGTGTTTGCTGCCCTTTGTGTTTTTGTGATGTCTTGTCGTGTTGATGCAGAAGACTGGAGGGGTAGAACATTTGACCTGGTGGGTGCATACAGGCAGTGCGCAATCAGGCCTTCTTCACGGCCTTACTCTCATATAGTAGTTAAGCAACCTGGGACGGATGAGATTGTGGCATTCAGAATGCGGGCACTGCCGTTTGGTTCGATACGATCCGTGCACTCATTTTTGCGTGTGGCATCAAGTTTGTGGTACATCCTTGTCAAGGAGTTCATGGTGTTGGCAACAAATTATTTTGATGATTTCATTACCCTTGCAACTGCTCCGGAGTCTAGTGCAGTGACTTCTTGCGTGCAGATGTTTTTCCGTTTGCTGGGTTGGGCTTTTGCAGAAACTGGACCGAAAGCCCCGGAGTTTGGTGAGGTTTTTCTTGCGTTGGGAGTACAGATTAATGTGGAACGTTTGTCGGCTGGCTCAGTTTCCATTTGCAACACTGCATCGCGGTGTGAGGAGTTGATTGTTGCACTGACCAAGATTCTTGAGACTGGGAATCTGAGAAAACAAGAAGCCTTGCGTTTACGAGGCAGACTTCAGTTCGCTTGTGGACAACTTTTTGGCCGTGTGGCAAAGACGGCCCTGGGAGTTGTTACCAACCACGCCTATGGGGGCAATTCTTCTCGTTTGAACAACAAAGCAATTTTGGCTCTCACTTTGCACAGGCATTTACTCTCCTGTGGCAGACCCCGCGAGCTGAAGGTTTCCTGTGATGATTCATGGTACATACAAACTGATGCATGCTACGAACCTTGCGAGGGTGGCATTTTTTCTGGGATTGGTGCTGTGCTCTTCAACCCTGCGGGACAGAAAGTTTCATTCATCTCACAACGACTTGGAGATGAAATGCTCAAGAGGCTCAACCCTTCTGAAAAAAAGACGGCCATTTATGAGTCCGAGTTCTTTGCACTTTTCTGCGCCTTCCTTATCTGGTTGCCTCGCCTTCCCAACTCAGTTGTGATATACACAGACAACAATGCGGTGCGTGACACGTTAATCTCTTGTTGTTCATCTGGCGGCATTGCAAAGAAAATTTTGGTGGCCACTTTGGCCTTGGAATGTGAAGGTCAATTGACCCCATGGTATGCGAGGGTCCCGACAGACTCCAATTGCGCTGATGCACCTTCAAGGTTGGTGACAGATGATTTGGTGAGGCTTGGAGTTCACCAAGCTGCTCTTGATATTGAAGATTGCTGGGAGCGCCTTCTGCTGCTGGAAGCAAAGTGGGGAGAAGAACAGGCAGCTTCGACGACCCCAGTTTGAAAAAGACTTCAGTCGTGCAACGTGTCTTCATTCAACATCAGCTTGTGCATTCAGTGCGTCAGATTGCATTACAGTTGTTCACAGTATCTGCAGCCACCGGTCTCAGCAAAGATAATCAAGCTGTCAACCTTGATAGCGATTTATCTGCAGGTGTGAGGCTGGGATTCCAGCCAGGTGGCTCAAGGCTGTTTTGTCAATGCCTGTCAAGTTGCCTGTCAAGCCTTGAACGGATGAGCAGCTTGGATCCTTTACGCAGAAACTTCTATGCTGATTCAAAGGCAGATGCTCTGATGATGCAATCTGCAAGTTCAACAAGCTCAACATCAATCTCAGTTCACTTGCAATGCAACTTCAACATGTGGATTCCAACATTTCAGTGTCACAATGTTTTTCTTTTGTAGGGGTGCCAACAACTCGCCCCGCCCTCTGCCACCCTGGCGGTTGTTGGCACCCCTACGTGGCATTCACTTGACGTCTTCTTCGACATCATTGCCTTTGTTTTGTTGGGTTTAAAGCCAAACCCACAGCCTGAAGAACAGGCAGCTTCGACGACCCCAGTTTGAAAAAGACTTCAGTCGTGCAACGTGTCTTCATTCAACATCAGCTTGTGCATTCAGTGCGTCAGATTGCATTACAGTTGTTCACAGTATCTGCAGCCACCGGTCTCAGCAAAGATAAATATATAATATATACATATATGTATATCCTGAAGCATCCAACTCCAAGATTTTTTTTGTGGACCTCGTTTACTGGATTTTTGTGGAAATCCCCTAGAAATTAGCCAAAACACCCAAGTTTACCAAGTCTCCTGGAAAAATGCAATGAAAAGGCAACGTAGCAATTGTTTTTCCTTATACGCTTTTCAAGGTCATCATTTTGACAAAGAATAGTTTATTTTACATTTCAGGACCCTAATTGCAAAGGCTTACCTCGGCGAAATCCTTGCCCGGAACGTTTTTCCTCAGATATGGGACTTTGCACCTTTGACCCAAGTTGGAGACCGTAAATGAGAAAAAAAACACCTGACTTTACCCGCAAAAAAACCCACACATATCGCAAAAAATCGCAAATATCCGCAAAAAAACTCGCCAATCCCAAAATGATGGTTTTGCGTGGCGAAATCCTTGTCAAGATCGTTGCACTGCCAGTTCACGAGTTCAATTCTGCAGAGCACTGTGTTTGCATGGGCCTTCTTATGAACATGATTGGCTAGCCCTCTATGTCTATGTCCATGGTTCCGGATTAAATAACTCTTTCCGCTGGCTCGGTGGGAGCCTAATGGTCGCAGAGAAATGGTTCAAAACGCTGAAGTTACCTGAAAAACCTGAAAAGCGGAAACTCCTGAAAATTTCACGGATTTGGATGCTCCACGATATATATATATAATATAATATATAATTAACATATATATATATAATTATATATATAATTAATATATATATATTATATATATAATTAATATATATAAAATTAATATATATATATATTATATAATTAATATATATATATATAATAATATATATATAATATATATTATATATATATAGATAATATACAGATAGTGTTGGGGGGTAAAGACATCCAGGAAAGCGATTCCTTGGCCTTGCCCCACAGCCGCCGTTTTGCTTCCTGCCTTCTTCAAGAACAAAGTCCGGGCTTGTCATGTGTGGTCGCAGGAAAAATGTGGCGCCATATTCGATTGTGAAGCAGCTGTGCTCGAAGGAGCTTTGTTTCAAAGTGCCAAACCATGATATATATATATATAACAATTTGCCAGCCATTTGCTTTACTGCTCCAGGAGACGTGGAAATTGGTTGGACAAGTCCAGGCAGTAAAGCTTTGCATATGTGGAGAGACTTTGAAGTGATGTGCAAAGTTTGCGTGCTGAGTTGATCATCTTGTCGCTTCTTGTCGCAGGTGCACAAGTTTTCCTCAACGCAGTTTACTCTTCTGGGGAGCTTTGATGAGGACGTTACAAGGGTGACAAATTCAGTCTGCATTGGCTGCAAAAACTCTCTCCGATGAAGCATCGTGGTAGGAAACAGGAGAATCAAAGGAGGCCAAAGAGAAGGTTCGCAACCATGAACAGAATGCTGGATTTTCAGATGTGACAACTCCTTGGATTTTCATGTTTCAGTCCAGCCGGGTTATTTTTGAATCTGTCCACTGTAAGGTGTATCTTGATCTGACCTGTATCGAAAGTCCTCTGCAGTCGCAACCTTTGCCAAAAAATAGCCGTCAGTTGTTGCGATCAAGTTCCATTTTGACTCTGTGAAGAATGTTGAACTAGAGAACCCATGTGACACCATGCCTGAAAGCCTTGCAAGGTTCAATCGGTTTAAGAAAAGACAGGAGGCGATGGAACCTTCGGTCTTATTGGCTCCAGTCCATGACACGCACCCACACAACCACATACACTATCACTATCATTCACTGCAGGGTCTCAGTGCGTCCAGGCCTTTCGGAAAGTCTTTCTGCAGGTAAGGAAGCATCTCGAGGTTCCAAAAAGATGCCGGTGGTCACTGGGAGCGAATTGCCGGACTCAAGTGACAGCAAGCAAACAGCGCAATACACACTACATGTGACCAATGAACATGTCTTTTGCGAAGGCAAAGTTTGGCATGGAGGGTCCTTTGGCTTTTGATGCTTATATTCATCTGCTGAAGGCGCACTCGGCGCACTCTCTGATGTGTTTTTGCAACAGACTTTAGTTTGTCAGTTTGGGCAGTGTTTCCTCGCCAGGCATTTGCTGCCAAGGTTCCTCACAGTGCAATCAGTGTTTACCAGGCCGTGAAGGGAGGAAACACGGTTGTGTTTTACGGCCATTCCATTCCACTCTCCATATCTATTGCTACTCAGCTACTCCTATCCTTATCCCGTTTTGCGTTTTAGCATGCGCTGGACTATTTGGGAAAAAGGGGACGGGTTTGGTGTCTAGAACTGGCCGGTTGGAAGTACGTCAGGTTTGCTGAGCCTTTGATTTGACAAATTTGATGCTTTTGCAAGATAAGGAAACCTGAGCCTTTGCAAGATATATGATTTACACATTTTTCTTCGCCTAGCATGACTTTTTTCAAAGCAGTTGCTCTGACAAAGAAGACGTAGAAGAGTGCATCTCTGTGCGGACTATCTAAGCTTCGGTGCTTAGCTTTGCTCTCTCCAGGCCACTTGTATTGGACTCTTTACCCTGAAGATTGGCCACTTCAGACTAAAGCAGCTTGGCAGACTCAGTTGCAAAGTCTGAACACTTGCATTCGCAGATGCTGAGTGCCAATTCACTGCCAGTCTTCCCAAATTCGCAGAAAAACTGGCAGAGCTGGTCGTCTCCTTTCTCAGGCGGAGCTTGTCCCTTGCCCTCTGCTTTTTCGAAGGCTTTCTCAGGTTCTGCTATCAGCCCCTTGGCATTGATAGATTTGCATCATGTGTCAGCGCTTGTTTATTCAAAATTTTCCGTGAAAGTGAGCAAACTTGAGCTCGCGGGAGGTTCTATTCGGCAACCCCGGCTTCTTTGGCACTCTCTTTCAAACTTTACATTGACAGCGTGAGTATAGTGCCTTCAACAGAGCATCCAATTGTCGTCGTGCCAGGATACCGAGACACCTTTTGCATTCGATGGCAATGCCCTGGGTTATCGCAGACCTGGCGTGTTGGATCGCGTTGGTTGAGACGATTGCACAAGCTTTGAATTGTTGGTGCCTTCAGATTTACTGTATTGCGGATATTTGCGGATATGTAATCCTACTTGGATAAGCAGGAGAGAGTATATATTTTCTTTGCCAATCCAGCCCTGGGATCAATTATGAACAAATTCAAGCTGTTCAAGTGTTTTCACTTGGCCCTGGACTGCGACAGAGTCTCAGAGACGCGATGACCGGCCTGAGCCGTCGTATTCTACACCTGCCTCTTGTGCTTTCACCTTACACGACCTCTTTAGGGTCTGGCTACCAGCACCTTGATAAAGATCTCGAGGCCCTGGAGGACTAGGAGTGTGACGCCGAAGTTGGCTTGGAAGACTCCGTACGGTGCATTTTGCACTCCCCACTTCACACTCTACACCACTCTGCACTCCCCAATCCACACTCGACCTTCCACACTACACTCCAGAGCCCACCCTCCACGCATAAGGCTTTATATCCCACACCTCACATTTAGTTCACTCCGCGCTTCAAGCTTTACATTTTTCACTCCACACGCCACGCCCCCACTGCAAACTCCAGACTCCACTTTGCATTCACTCCACGCCGCGCATCCATATTTCTCAGCCTACAGTTGTAGTATATATATATATATTATATATAGAGTTGTTTTACAACAGAGTCGTAAGTGATGTGTATTGGGGTTCGTGGGTTTGACCAACTTATTTATATAAGTTGCTTTTCGTATTGTAGTTTGTTTGTTTTTTTTCTCGCATTCCAGACATTTTTCTTGTATGAAATGAATATAAATGAATCGATGCGAGTTGGATTCTCTGCGACTTTCTGGGTTTTATAGGGTCGTCAGCCCGAACGGAGACCAGACGGAATCGGTCACCCACTAGCAGAGTCAGACCACAGTGAGTCAATCACCCCCCACGTCGGAGTCAGTCACCCTCCACAGCCACACTCGCGGCGAGGGCTGAGTGACATGGTTTCTTTAGGGTTGGTTCAGGGTTGTTTCAAGATGTACTGGGGTCTATTCAGGGTTGGTTTGAGGGTTGGTTTAAGGTTTCTGCAGGGTTTCCTCATAGTTTGTTTTAGGGTCTATTGAGGGTTTACTTAGTGTTGGTTTTGGGTGTATTTAGGCTTGGTTTTGGGTTTATTTCGGTTTGGTTCAAGGTGAAATTTGGGTTTCGTCAGGGTTTGCTTGAGGGTTGGTTTAGGGTTCCTGTCGGGTTTGTTTTAGGGTTTATGTAGTCTTGGTTTGTGGGTTGGTTCAGGGTTGTTTCAAGGTGTATTGGGGTTTATAGGACATTCAGGGTTGGTTTTAGGGTTGGTTTAAGGTTTCTGCAGGGTTTCCTCATGGTTCGTTTTAGGGTATATTGAGGGTTGACTTAGTGTTGGTTTGCGGTTTATTTAGGCTTGGTTTAGGGTTTCTAAAGGGTTGGTTTAGGGTAATGATGGATTTCGTCAGGATTTGTTTTAAAGTTGGTTTAGGGTTGGTTTAGGGTTTGTTTAGGGTATATTTGGGTTTGATTTAGGTTTCATTTAAGGTTGGTTTAAGGCTAATGTAGGGTTTCGTCAAGGTTTGCTTTGAAGGTCTATTTAGGGTTAGGGTTTCATCAGGGTTTGTGCGAGGGTTGGATTAGGGTTTATTTCGGTTTGGTTTAGGGTATAGTCAGAATTGGTTTAGGTTTTTCTTGAGGTTAGTCGGGTCTCGTCAAGGTTTGATTTAGGGTCTCTTTAGGGTTTACTTAGTGTTGGTTTTGGGTTTTTAGGCTTGGTTTAGGGTTTATTTAGGTTTGGTTTAAGGTGAAATTTGGGTTTCGTCAGGGCTTGCTTGAGGGTTGGTTTAGGGTTTCTGTCGGGTTTGTTTTAGGGTTTATGTAGTCTTGGTTTGGGGTTTATGGATGCTTGGTTTAGGTTTCTTTTGTTTTGGTTCAGGGTTGAATTATTGTTTCGTCAGGGTTTGTTTTGGGGTTGGTTTAGGGTTTGTTTTAGTGCTGGTTTGGGGTTTACTTAGGGTTGGTTTAGGTTTAGGGTTTATTCAAGGTCGGTTTAGGGTTTATTTAGGGCTAGTTTAGGGTTTGTTTAGGGTATATTTAGGGGTTGGTTTAGGGTATATTTCGGGTTGGTTTACGGTTTCTTTTGGGTTGGTTTAGGGTTAATAAGGGTTTCGTCATTTTTTTTTACATGGTGTAGGGTTTATTTTGGTTTGGTTTAGGGTTAATGTTGGGTTTTGTCAGGGTTTGCGTGTTTAGGCTTTACTTAGTGTTGCTTTGGGGTTTCTTTAGGGTTGCGTTAAGGTTTCTTGAGGGCCTCTTTGTTGTTGACGTTCCGTTTTTTCATGTTCCTATGGGTTCCGTAATAGATAGATAGATAGATAGATAGATGATCTTTCATATGCATTAAAAACCAATCATATCCATTCATATCCATTACTATCCATGAACTTGGGGTCACTGCGGGTATTCCAGTAATCTAGCTGGGCTTGATTAGATTAGATTAGATTAGATTAGATTAGATAGATAGGTAGATAGATAGCTAGCTAGCTTTCAGGGGTGATTGACTCTTTGGTGTTGACTTTCTGTTTTCCTGCGGTTCCTTGATCCTCCTCCCGGCTTCCGAGGGGTGACTGACTCTCGGTTGCTGACTCTCTGTCTCCTCTTCCTGGTTTCCCTGTGCTAGTGTTCACCGGTGACTGACTTTGTCCTATGGGGTTCCTGACTCGGACGTTTGGGGCGACTGACTCGGGTGACTGACTCTGTCTTTGCCCGCCCAAGCGAAAGAACTTATTGCCTTTTTTAGCCCTGCTGGCTCATTGTTGGGCTCTATCCAGAAACAAATTACCCTGGCAAAACCTTCGGATATAGACAGGTCTCCTTTTCTTGGCGCTTCCAGAAAATTGAATAGTTTGAGCGCGCAAAAATCAATCGAATTTCCTGTTCTTGGAGTCAGAGTTGGCTGTGCTGGCCACAGAATTGAAAGCTTCTGGAGCAGATGTGTAAGAGCACAGCTGGAGCAGCTGACAGCCAGTGAGCAAGTCAAGGCCTAGCGAACACGGACTTATTAATCAATCAGTCCCCCCTCTGCTGCCTTGGGTTGGATGGCGGTTATGCCTACTTGCGGTCAGGTTCTGGAAATTCGCGCTGGAAACAACAAAGTGTGAAATATGGCAAACTTGCCAGTCAGCATCACTGTGTGAGCCACCAATATGGCACCAAATATCACGGGGAACTCTGAGCGTTTCAACATTTTCAACCCGTTCAAGAATTGGCACTTGCGCTTCCCTGCCTTGAGCTTGCGGTGAGAGAACACGCTCAGACCACATCGAACACAAAATCGAACACGATCATGCTGTTTAACGCTGCTGATTACATGTGTTTACGAATCTGTTGTGGCTTCAAACCAACATCATTTGCATCTGCCAGGTCGACAATCAATTGACTTGAGCAACGGGAGGCAGACTGAATCAATTCAGATCTGTGTGTTGCAATGAACTCGAAGAGTCGAAGAGGGTAAACATGGATTTCCCTTTCTGAAGCACCGCTTCAATTTGGCAGGTTGCTCGCACGTCAAATCACAAGCTGGAGAAGTGAACTGTACTTCCGGAGCGTTGAGGTGCGCATTGCGGATTGTGCAGTCCACTTAAGTCCCTTGTCATGTCTAACTTATCAACCAAGCATTAAAGCTACCAACAATTTGATTCACTCAACGTTTGACTCAAACATCTTGACATTTCTATATAGGACGGCAGATATTTTGGAACTCCAGTCGCCATCCTCTTGGCGATTTGTATTCGCCGGCCAGATCAACCATTTATCAACTCGTGCTGATGAGTGGATGAACGTGTGAAGCTCAACACCTCCAGATTCTACAATGCAGTCGTTTTGCGACCCAACTTCACGGTTCTTTAATGTAAACCATGTGCAGTCCATTATTCCACACTCTTAACATATTTTGACAATTTTTGACATATACAAAGTACATCAAAGTACTGGGTACATACATATATATATACACATATGATTTAAAATGACTTAATGATTTGATAATATGATCCTTGGATCTAGGCAGAGGCCAAGAGGGTCATCCAGGGTCCAGGACAGCGCTTTGCTTTGTCACTGACCCAGGTGACTCATTCCTTGGATCCGCAGCAAGTGTCAATGGAAGCGCTGCAATTGCTTGAGAGGCAGTACGAAGGACACAACATACCCGATTGATGTAGCGATGCAGCGATTGAGATACAGATTAACACCGGGTGACAATATGAACACAACCCCTGTTATCCAACGTTCATGTCCATTATATTGCAAACTGGAGGCTGGTTCACTTCTGAGGAGAATGACTCTGCAGGGTTGCTCCTTTCAGCATGTTGAACCTGAAGCTGTCTGAAGGTCCTTTCCTGTGACTGGCGAGGATGCTTTTCTCCTTGGCCGCGGGCCAAGTAGCTCTGCCATCGGTGATTTGTGCGAAGACAAAATTGTGAAAAGTAGCTATTGCTTCAGCTTGGTGCTTCAAGGCGCTCCACCTGATGTTTGGCTGTGCGACTCGAGGTTTTGAAGGCAGATGCTGCCAATGCTCGACCCAGTTTAAGACACCTCCCAAGTGACACCTCAAAAAGGGATACGACGCGTCAACATGCCAAAACGACCGTCGACATACCAAAATGGTTGTTCCCGTCGACATGCCAAACAAGGTTGTCTCCGTCAACATGCCAAAAGAGTGTCCATCGACGTGTCAAAACGATGGTGTCCGTCGACATGCCAAGAGAATGTTTCTGTCGGCATGCGAAAACGACGCCCCCCAATGCCAAAAAGTAGGTCAGAAAGGAAGAAAAGAGTAAATAGCAAATTGTATATAAGCGTGTCCATCGACATGCTAAAACGGCTCCCTGCGATGCCAAAAAGTAGGTTGGAAAGGAAGAAAAGAGTAAATAGCAAATTGTATATAAGCGTGTCCATCGACATGCTAAAACGGCTCCCTGCGATGCCAAAAAGTAGGTTGGAAAGGAAGAAAAGAGTAAATAGCAAATTGTATATAAGCGTGTCCATCGACATGCTAAAACGGCTCCCTGCGATGCCAAAAAGTAGGTTGGAAAGGAAGAAAAGAGTAAATAGCAAATTGTATATAAGCGTGTCCATCGACATGCTAAAAGTAGGTTGGAAAGGAAGAAAAGAGTAAATAGCAAATTGTATATAAGCGTGTCCATCGACATGCTAAAACGGCTCCCTGCGATGCCAAAAAGTAGGTTGGAAAGGAAGAAGAGAGTAAATAGCAAATTTTATATAAGCGTGTCCATCGACATGCTAAAACGGCTCCCTGCGATGCCAAAAAGTAGGTTGGAAAGGAAGAAAAGAGTAAATAGCAAATTGTATATAAGCGTGTCCATCGACATGCTAAAACGGCTTCCTGCGATGCCAAAAAGTAGGTCAGAAAGGAAGAAAAGAGTAAATAGCAAATTGTATATAAGCGTGTCCATCGACATGCTAAAACGGCTCCCTGCGATGCCAAAAAGTAGGTTGGAAAGGAAGAAAAGAGTAAATAGCAAATTGTATATAAGCGTGTCCATCGACATGCTAAAACGGCTCCCTGCGATGCCAAAAAGTAGATTGGAAAGGGGCAATGTCTGGCTTGTGACCCCAAAATCATCTCGCTTCTGCCTCCAAATCATCTCGCGCTCCAAAATCATGACCATGACCATGACCATGACCATGACCATGACCATCATCATGATCATGATCATGATCATGATCATGATCATAATCATGTTCATGATCATGATCATGATCATCATCGTCATCACCATCACCATCACCATCACCATCATCATCATCATCATCATCACAATCACCACCACCACCACCACTACCACCACCACCACATCATCATCATCATCATCATCATCATCATCATCATCATCATCATCATCATCATCATCATCATCCTCGTCACCACCACCACCACCACCACCACCACCACCACCAGCATCATCATCATCATCATCATCATCATCACCATCACCATCACCATCACCACCACCACCGCCATCATCATCATCATCAACAACAACAGCAACAAGAACGTACATATTTCATCATTACACACCATCATCACCATCATCATCATCATCATCACCATCATCATCATCATCAACATTATCATCACCTTCTTCGCCAACAGCAGCGGCAACAAAAACAACTGACAATTTTTTATCATTACCATCACCATGATCATCTTTATCATCCTCGCCATCTTTTCATGGCCTACATCCTCATCATCACCACTATCATCATCATCATCCTCATCATCATTAACTTCATTTTTCATCTTGAACTTCATTGTCATCGTCATCATCATCATCATCATCATCATCACCGTCACCACCATCGTCATCATTATCATTTTGCGGGTCATCATGGTCAGCATCATCATCCTTATCCGTATCATCATTTGCAGCATCAGTATCATCACAATTACCATCATCATCAGCATCAGCATCAGCATCATCATCATCATCATCATCATATATCATCATCATCATCATCAGCATCGCCATCATCATCATCATTATCATCGTTATAATCATCGCAGCCATCATTTCACAAGTATCATCATCGCTATCACCATCACCACCATCCTCAACATCAACATCAACATCAACATCATCATCATCATCATCATCATCATCGTCATACCCGTTCTCCCCCTCCTCCTGATTATCACCATCATCATCATCATCTTCTTCTCCTTCTTCTCACATGTGTGAAAGGTCCTGGTAGATGTCAAATTATATAGCATCATGTCGGTTGTCAGTGCAAGAGAAGATCTCATAGCGTAGCGAATGTGTAAAAGTACAGAAGAAGATCTCATAGTGTCAGGGTCTAGTCCCTGTGCCTAGAGCTACGGGACGTTAAATCCCATCCCACCCCACCCACAGGCCAGAGCCAGGAGAAGATCTGATAGCGTGGCACCATGTCGGTGTGCAGCTGCAAGAGCAAGATCTGATAGCGTGGCATCATGTCGGTGTGCAAGTGCAGGAGAAGATTTCATAGCGTAGCACAGGTGTGCAAGTACAAGAGAAGTTCTCATAGCGTAGCATATGTGTGGAAGCGCAAGAGAAGGTCTCGATAGCATCAGGATATAGTCCCTGCCTAAAGCCAAGGGACGTTATCACACACTACCCCAGCCCACCACAGCCCAGCCCAGCCCAGCCCACCCCCCTACCAGAGCCAGAAGAAGATTTTTAGCGTGGAAGTGCAAGAGAAGGTCTCATAGCGTGGGATATAGTCCCTGTGCTTAGAGCCAAGGGACGTTCACCCCCAGGCCAGAGCCAGGAGAAGATCTGATAGGGTGGCACCATGTCGGTGTGCGGCTGCAAGAACAAGATCTGATAGCGTGGCATCATGTCCGGGTGCAAGTGCATGAGAAGATTTCATAGCGTAGCACAGGTGTGCAAGTACAAGAGAAGTTCTCATAGCGTAGCATATGTGTGGAAGCGCAAGAGAAGGCCTGATAGCATCAGGATATGGTCCCTGTGCCTAGAGCCAAGGGACGTTATCACACACCACCCCACACAGCGAGAACATCTCATAGTATTAGGATATGATCCCTGTGCCTAGAGCCAAGGAATTATCATACCCCACCCCACCCCACCTCTCCCCAAGAACATATCATCATCATCCTCATCTTCATCCTCATCATCATCATCATCACCATCATCATCATCATCATCACCATCATCATCATCATCATCATCATGATGCCAAAAAGTAGGTTGGGACGGGAGAAAGTAAAGAGTGACATAGTAAGTGTCCCCATCGACATGCCAAAACGACGCCCCCCGATGCCAAAAAGAAGGATGGAAAGGAAGAGCAGTAAAGAGTAAAATGGTAAAGCTGCCTGTCGACTGCCAAAAAGACGCCTCGTGAAACCAAAAAGTAGGTTGGAAAGGGAGAACAGTAAAAAGTAAAATAGAAAGCGTGCCGGTCTATGTGCCAAAACGAAGTAAGTGTGCCCGTCGACATGCTAAAGACGACGTAAATGTGCCCGTCCACATGGCAAAAAGACGCCCGGCGATGCCAAAAAGTAGGTTGGAAGGGGAGAATAGTAAAGAGTAAAGTGCCCGTCGACATGCCAAAGCGACGCCCTGCGATGCCAAAAAGCAGGTTGGAAGGGGAGACTAGTAAAGAGTAAGGTAGTAAATGTGCCCGTCGACATGCCAAAGGGACGCCCGCGATGCCAAAAAGTAGGTAAGGGGAGAATAGTAAAGTGTAATGTAAAATAGTAAGTGTGCCCGTCGACGTGCCAAAATGTGCCCATCGACATGCCAAAACAACGCAAATGTGCCCGTGGCCATGCCAAAAACGACGTAAATGTGCCCGTACACATGCCAAAACAACGCCCCTCAATGCCAAAGAGTAGGTTGGGACGGAAGGATAGTAAAGTGTAAAATAGTAAGTGTGCTCGTCGACATGCCAAAATGTGCCCTTCAACATGCCAAAGTGACGTAAAAGTGCCTGTCGACATGACGTAAGTGTGCCCGTCGACATGCCAAAACGATTCCCGGCGATGCCAAAAAGTAGGTTAGGTTTAACAAGGTTCCGGAGGGGTCCGGAAAAGGTTCCATGAGGCTTTGGTGCAGAGCCAGGTCATGTTCAACAGGGTTCCGGAGAAGGTTCCGGAAAAGGTGTGGGAGGCTTTGGTGCAGAGCCAGGTCAGGTTCAACAGGGTTCCGGAGAAGGTTCTGGAGAAGGTTCCTGAGAAGGTTCCGGGAGGCTTTGGTGCAGAGCCAGGTCAGGTGAAGGTTCCGGAGAAGGTCTGGGAGGCTTTGGTGCAGAGCCAGGTCAGGTTCAACAGGGTTTGCCGCCATTTAATTCACGGAAGCCCAGCTGAGGTGTTTCCAGCGCTTGGCTTCGCAGCACACTTCAGAAAAACGTGTAAAAATAAAACATTGCGGCTGTTGGGGATATCACCGTTTTTTTTTTTTGGCGGGGTGTTTTTTTGGCATGTCGACGGGTGGTATTCTCCTCAAAGCAGCAGTGGCTGTAAACTAAGCCAAAATGTTTCCGTAAAAACAAACGCGGCAGCTGCTGATTTGTTGACAGGCTTATGAACTTGTGCATCCATGGCCGAGCTCTACACTGAGTCTGCTATGGCTGCTATGTGTTCTCACGCCCAAGGCTTTTGTTTCGAAAGGGCTGAAGACTGATGGCCGGCAAAGTTTTACGCACCTTGATTGATGTCAGATATGTCAGAGAGTTGAACTTTTGATGTTGCCAAGTTGCCATTCTCAAATATTCATTGTGCCACCAGCTGCCCTTGGCATGGGTGCCAGAGAGCTTACACTGTGTTGCTCCAGGGCTGTGATGGGTTCACAAAATGTTCACAAAAGGCCGGATGAAATTGATGCTTTCGACATTTTGAGTCCATGGTGTCTATGTTTGTTGACCATAAGTCATTGCGAAGAAGGGAGGTGGATCGGAAAAGCGCGTAGCCACTCCACTGGGTAAAATCAAACCCGGTATCAATTGAATGCGGATTCTATTGGATTCCTTCCGGAATCCTTCCGGATTCCTTGCTCTTGATGAGGACATGACCACAAGCATTTGTCATTCAAACCTGGAGCATTTCCTGGCACGGAGATGCTCCATGTGCTTTGCCCAAGCGAAGTATAACCGTAACTGACGGTAACTGACCGTAACTGACCGGAACTAACCGTAACACATTGCTGACATCGAATTTGTCGAATTTTCAGTGGCAGATGCTAGGGCCCAGCTCAGGCTCAACTTTTGGATTTCATCTGAATTCTAAGAAGGCTGCCAATCTATGCCGACTTTCTGCACCAGTGAAATGTAGGTGAGATTTGATGAGATTTGATGAGCACATTCCAACCTCCTGACTGCAGACATTTGCAGACATAAGGCACCATAAAAGTATATGGAATTCCTAAATCCGTCTCGAACACTAGTCTACGAGCAAACAGCTCAAGGGGATGAGGCTCTTGGGTCCAGAAGGGACACGATGCGATGCACGCAATTAATGCGTGATCTGGTACCTTTAGACAAGGAAACCCAATGAAACCCATGTATGCCTTTGGATATGTCAAGAAATGACGGCAACGTGACAACTGATTCTTTTGCTGGTGCAGAGAGCTGTTTCACAGTTGTGGCACTGCACCAAAGAACTTTGCTTCAGCCTGGAGTGCTTCTGCTTGAGTGCGACTGTGCCACTGAGGGAGCGTCTTAGGCGTTAAACCCTCGTTGCACCTCAGCACAGGGTGTGCCCTGGCCTTCATTGCGGCTGGCAACCTGATTGGAATTCAAGATTGGCACAGCGCTCCCATCTGCTTAGATAGCCCACTGCTTGAGAGGCCATGAAAGAGACTCAACAATTTCAACAGCTCAAGGGAAAGCATCATAGATCTTCAAAAAATATTGTTGATTGAAGCAATTGGCATGGAAGGTACTTGATCCATTCTTTTGCGATGGCCTATCGGCCCAAAACCCCTGTAGTACTTCAGCCGAAGCTACGTTCACCACAGGCGGAAAACCCATTGCATTCGCTTGTGCTTTGCACTTGTTTGCACTGATTTCTGCTTGACAGTGGCAGCGGAGCTAGCGTTGGGTTCCAAGGGTCAGGGCATCTAGTGTCTTGCAATCAATTCAGAATTTTGTGTGACATTTTGATTGTTGGGTGTTGGGTTGACTTTGAGCAACAAGCGTTGCGAATTCTGCTCTGCGAGTGTCATCGTGCACGGTGCTTCACCCGATCGTCTGGATTTGCCCTGACTGGTGGATTCATATTTCTTTGATATTTGCTGCTTCTGAAGGAATGTGGCATTTGTCTGGTGGAGTGAAAGACCAGTCATGGCGGAGAATGGCGAGGAGAAAGGATCGGGTGCTTGGGCGAAAGTTCCAACATGGGACGGTGCTCCAACTACGTGGAGGGCCTTCCAACGTGAAATGGTGGGTCTCCTCGCTGGACCTGGAGAGCACCAAGAAGTACAACTTAGCGGCTCGGTTCTTGCTTAGACAGACCGGGATTGTTAGGCAGCATGGCGAAGAGTTCTCTCCAGAGGATTTGCAGTATCGTCCGGCTCAGACCATCACTGACCCAGATAGTGGCGAAGTCTTTGAGATTGAGAAGGAAGACTGTTTGTTTGGCTTGAAAAAACTGATGCAAGCCCTAGAGGGCATTAATGGAATGACTGCACTGGATAAGAACGGCGAGTTGAGGTCACAGTATTCAATACGCAAACCTGGAGAGAGAGTTTCTGAGTTTTCTACAGGGTTTCGAACTGTTGTGGCAGATCTTCGCTCTGAACAGGTGCAGTTGCGGTCCTCTGAGGTTGGTTGGTTTTATAAGGAGAAGCTTGGACTTGATCCTTTGCGTAAGCAGTTGCTTGAGACTGCATTGCAAGGTGCTGACGATTATCAGACAATTGAGACTGAAACATTGAGGTTGTTTAAAGACCTCCACATGTCAGACCCCATGTTCCGATCGAAGCTGATGCATGAAGCGCATGTTTGGAGCAGGACAGTCTAATCAGGGTTTTCATCATCAGCGTCTTCAAGTGCTGGTTCAACATTCAGCAGGGCATCATCGATTTTTTCTAGACTGTTCAGTCGTGGCAGTGCAGCGTTGGAGGACATTCTCCAAACCCAGGCCGAATGCTTTGCGGCTGAACTCCAAGAGGCCGAAGAGATGGGCGGGGCTTCCATGCGAAGATGTGGAATGTTTAGAGCAGAACTTTGAACAAGCCGCTGAGGCTTTAGTCACAATGAAAGAGGCGAGAAGCCGCTTGCAAGAGATCCGAAAGGATTGTGGCTATGACCGCTCTGGTGATGGCAAGGGCAATGGAAAGACAGGTCAAGTTGCGTCTCGACAGGCATCTGGGAAGCGTGCATGCTTCGATTGTGGGATGCACGGCCAGTGTGCTGGAGATAAGGAATGCACCATGCCAGGTGCTGGTTTGGGACGCAAGAGCGCTTCTGCACCAAAGGCGAAAGCAAAACAACTGCGCCTTGCTGAAGCGCTGAATGCAGAGTTGGCCATTTCATCCTGATTGACATCTACCCCAGCACCTGGTGCTGTTGAGATCCTTAATACCATTGAACCCAAGACCCATGAAGCGTCAGTTGTTCATCGTCTTTCAGTTCCATTGCATGAAACACTTTCCCAAAGCACTCAGCGAGATGGCCAGTTGAGAGCTGCTTCTGCTCAGGCTCTCTCCGAGGACAAGTTGGGACGTTGGACTCTGCATGCCATCGAACTTGCTGTGGGCCCGTTTGGATGGATTCGTACATGGCCAAACTTGCACAGTTGGCTCCTCCTCATCTGGTAGATTTGGTTTCCACAGTTGATGAACAAGAGCGGTTTAAATTTGGAAATGGTGGTTTGGTCACTTCTTCAAATCGCTTTCGGGTTCCAGTATGCGTTTTAGGAAGGTGATACTTGTTATTTGGATTTCAGTTGTGCCAGTTGCATCTCTGTGCTGAATTTCGCCAACAGAACGTTGGAGTGCACCTCTCTCAACTCGCAACCGCAAAGGCTGGACCAGATGGCAGCGGGTCACTTCATGCTGCGGCTTTTGCCGTTGCGTTGGCCGAGGCTCGATGGTGGAAGTTGGCGAAAATGTGGTTTGGACAATATCATAGAGTTGAAGTTGAAAGCAGTTGATTGGTTGAAACGTCGTATATCTGAAGGTTTATCAGGTCATCCAAACTCCAGTGATGCCGTTGTTGAGCATGAGCACGTTTTGACAGAAAGTGGTATGTATGCCAGCGAAACCTTGATGAGCTTACACGAAGCCAATCTCACTGAATGCGAAGGCTGGGCTCAAGAGATGTCAGCTTCTCAGAAGCAACAATTTCCCCGTCAACATCCTCTACGACGTCCTGGTGCACGTGCTGGCAATGGAAGCTCAGCAAGCAGCCTTGCTTCCTGCGCTTGTGGCCCAGGCTCAGGCCGATGCCTCAGTCATTGTGACTTTGGGGCCTGTGGCTCAAAAGACCCTGATGGCCGAATGTCGGCAAGCCTTTGCTCCGTACCGATGGAGAAGGTTCATCATGCGTTTACTTGGAAGGCGTCAATGGTACGAGCAAGCTTGCTTTTGTGTTTGGTGGCGCGTTCCTACTTGCGCTATTTGCCCTATCCATACCCACCTGTGTCTACGGTGCAGTCATGGATCCAGTAGGCCGAAGCAATGGTTGGCCAAGCTGTTCTTCCTCGTGCTCACCATCATTTGGCATTGGAAGCCAAACCATATACAGCCAAGAACTTACTGGAGCTTCAAGGATTTCGAGATCGAGTTGGCTGGCGCTTTGCATTCTTGGAAGACTCCCTGCTGAGCAGTTTTCTTTTGACAAAGACCATACGTGGTCAGCAACAGCGTTTGAAGATGGAGGCAATCCAAGAAATGAAGGACAAGGTTCAAGAGGAAGTGCAAGAGGAAGACCGAACACAACTGGCCAGACAGTTGATTGGTCCTCGTGGGGGCTTGCCCACTCTCAAGGACGACTTGGTCCGCTTGGCACATTTGGTCTATGTGGAGGTGGAACCGAAGGACACGGTCGCCATTTTGCAGGCCAAGATTCGGCCGGTAGTGGCTTCGCTCAAGGAGAACAAGCCAGTGGCGAAACCAAGTTCAGTGACGCCGTCAACGGCAGCGCCCAAGAGCTCGGCCACTGCTGCCAAGGCCGCAACACCGGCCGCATCCACTTCGTCAACATGGTCAGTTGTGAATCCAACTGATGCGGACGATCGAATGATGCAGATGATCGCCATGCAGGACCAGAAATTCCAGGCCATGAGGAATCAAGTGATGCAGCATGTGATGAGCCTGCAGCAGTTGCCATCTGGGGCGATCAATCTGGACAGCGAAGACGCCAACATGAACGAGAACCCAAAAGCTCTGACAATGACTTTTGCATTAACACCAAACAGAAAGTCAAGCGTGGGATTCGTCAGATGATCACCCAAGCATGGAACGAACATCAAAGGCAGCAGCTTGCTGTCTCTGTTAGCCCCAAGCAGTTGAAGGAATTTATGATGGCAGAATGGGGGACAGAAATGCGGGGCTACATGAATGAGGCTTTCACAATGGAGCTGTGTGACTGAGGTGTACACAGACACCGAGCCCATTGCGAAGGCTGCCCAGCGCATTGGACTTAGAGCTGGTGACAGTCTTACTCTTGGGACGGGATGGGATTTCAAAGATGCCCGTCACTGAGAAGCTGCTAAGCGCCTGATTCGGCGTGTCAAGCCCTATGCCTTGGTGATCGCCTTTCCCCGTGGGCCGTGGTCCAACTTGCAGTATCTCAAGCCCAGTGTTGATGTCGACGCGAGGCGAGCAGATGCCAAGGAGTTGGTGGTGTTTGCCGTTGAGTTTGCCATGATTCAGCTTGCGGGCTGTCGCCACTTTGTGCTGGAGAATCCATCAGCATGGAAGCTGGAGGAGGTGATTGCTCTGTGTGAAAGAGATGATGTACTCGAAGTGGTGGTAGACACGTGCCGCTTTGGTCTGAGAAGTGCTGAAGGAGGTTACCAGAAGAAAGCGACAAAACCGGTGACATCTTCCCAAGCCTTGATCACGGCTTTTTGGAATCAGCGCTGCTTGGGAGATCACATGCATTCGCATGTCATTGGCGGCTCAAAGATCACTAACGCAGCTGGTCACTATACCGTTGAGTTTTGAAATGTTGTGGTTCAGGCATTCATGGACCAGTATGGCTTTGAGCAGCTTCCTGGGGAGGTCTCTGACTTTGACGATGACGGCGCGATTGAAGTGTTTGCGGCGGAATCTGCAGCGGCGCGAATGAAGTGTTTGCGGCGGAATCTGCAGAGACGGACGGCAATGCCGAGATCATTGTTTGTGCATCAACTACACATCTACACCGGGCACAGAAGCCGATTGAGGCTTGCTCCGGCACTGCTGATTGCTGGTGCGCCTCCAGCTGCTATTGAAGCTGCCAAGCAGTTGAAATGCTCAGTCTGTGCGGAAAGAAGGCCACCGAAGAGTCGTTTGCCTTCATCACTGCCGCCACCTCGTTGGTCAGCAGGTGCATTTGGATTTGGTGATTTTGGAAGATTCATTGCGAAGGCAAGACGTTGTGGCTCACTGCACAGATCACGTTTCCAGATTTCAAGCTGCGAGAGTTTTGCAAGACAAGTCAAGTGCGGCAGTGATTCATTTCATGACCGCCCACTGGTTTCCGTTGATGGGGCCCCCTCACACGGACGTGAATATATTTCTGCTGCTTTTGGTGATTGGTGCGACTCCAAACCAATCTACCTATATCACATAGGAGTCGGTGCACTGTGGTAAACTGGGATATCTGAAAGGTCAGGTGGAACCTTGAATGCGATCATCGAGCCATATGCCAAACGCATGCTGTGAGCACCTTGTCAGAGATGCAATCGGTGAAGCTGTATCAGCCTACAGCACTGACTCCGATGAGAGCGGCGTCAGCCCTTTGCAGCTTGCACAGGCCGCAATCCTCAATCTTCTGCTGATGTCTTGAGCAATTTTTGTGGACATGTGGCGGAGCACTTGCTTTTGGAGGCTGATGCATCAATGGCCCGGCAGGTGGCGATTAGAGAGACGGCCAGAGTGGCCGTGGTGCGACTTCACTACAGCCGAGGTCTTCGTCAAGCTGAGTTGCCGTCCCAGAAGACCCACTGCAGAAGATGCCCCACAGCCTGGTGATCTTGTTTTCTTTTGGAGAGCACAGAAGTACTAAAGCAAGAAAGAGATGGCGAGTGGACGTCCAGGGCGTCGACTTCAACTACGACGATGGTATGGCCCTGGGCTGCTTGTTGCAATAGAAGGTGCAAACGGCACCGGGTTTGCTGCAAAACGGTTTGTGTCGTTTCGAGGCCAGCTCACCAAGCGCCCTATGGAAATTCTCTGGAAGGCATCATCACTTGAGAACTTTGCTGCTGGTTCTTGGGAGGCTGCCATAGATGTTGTGCTGAAAGCAGCACAATGTGACGTTGTTGCCGATGATGCTTTGCCAGCGCAACAGCCTGAATCATTGGATGATGGTCTTGATGGGCAACAGACAGCTGCACCTTTCACCCCTGTCCTTGCACCTCCTGTATTGTCCAACACTGAGATTGTGGCAGCTCTACAACCACAAGGAAGCGGTCAGACGGCTGGCTCCAGACGACAATCGTCGATGCTTGCAGATGTGGCTTTTCAATTTGGTTCTGACACACAGAACTTGAATCTTGCAGTGCCAGACCAGCAGCCTGAACATGGGCGCTCGAGATTGCTAAGCACTGCGACCTGCCTTTGAAGCTTTGGCCATGACTTGGGAGCAACCTTGCAATGTAGTTGAATCTGGTCCAGGTGCACCCCCTTCGACTGCAAGCTGAGGTGGAGCTGGATAGGCGTGCCCCTCTTGACAACTTGGAGTACGGCCACGGTACCTGGGATGGAAGATGGGCTTCCTTATGCGAGCGTGATTGGGAGCTCATGCGTGGTTGGGTTCTCAACTCCCTTGTGGTGCAGCAGATGGTTGTTTTGATGCTCTGATCGTACAAGCTTCTCGCAAAGAGTATCATTGGACCCAGCTGTCTCCTGCAAAGAAGACTCTATGGCGTGACGCTGCTGTCCAAGGATGGAATGCCTACGTTGACAGCAATCCAATCCAAGTGTTGCCCATGCAAGAATCAATGCAAGTCCGAAAGGATCCGGCTCGACGCCAGGAACTGGATCGAATTCTACAGCCCAGGTCCGCTTTGACGGTCAAACATGATGGACTTCGCACGGCATCTCATCCTTTGCCTATCAAGGTAAGCAGCCGCATTGTTGTGCCAGGGTACAAGGACAAGAGCAACTTGGAAGGCAATCTCCGACGTGATTTTTCAATTGGTCCACGGATGGCTCAACATTTTCTTTTCTCCTTGGCTGCTTTCTTTACACATTGGATGCTGATTGCTGCAGATGTGAAAGCGCCTTTTTGAAGGGAGATCCATGCCTCAACAGAGAGCTCTACCTTTGTGGTGTGGATGAGAGGCGAAATCCGCCGATTCCTTTGAAACCTGATCAGCTTTGCCAAGTGTTGAAAGGAATATTTGGGCTGGCAGACGCCCCCAGAGAATGGTGGGTCCGTTTGTCAAGATCCATGGAAGAGCATGGTAGGTGCCGAACCTTGATGTGCTTTTGGATTTTCAATAATGCTGGTGAGAAGATCCTGGAGGCCGTAGTTGTCGCACATGTGGAGGATCTTTTGTTTGCAGGTGGTGCAGCTAGAAAGGCTTCATCGGATGCCATAGGCGCCGAGTTAGGTTTTGGAAGTTGTGAGGAGAATGGTGTGGCAAAAGGATCAGAAGGGCAACTGTTGGAACTTTCCGTTTGAGAACCTGAGAACCTGAAAGATCGTTTGCCTCGCCACCGCAAATCAGATCCATCGTCCAAGCCGGATGCGACGGAGACGAAGAGACTTCGAGCATTGCTTGGAAGCTTCCAATGGTTGGTTTCAACACTTCAAGGAGAGAGCCCGCCCACGACTTCTATGATCTTGAGGGCGGCAAACTCCCTGGCGAAATTCAAATTGATGGTCTCCGACGCCACGCTCGGAAATTTACGACGTGATGGCTCGAATGCTGGCGAATCCATCACCAAGACCTACCCTCAGGGTTGCTACTTTGCATTTCTGGCTGATGGTGATCTCACCGAGGGTCGTCAAGGGAACTTCAACATACTCGATGCCAGGTCTCACAGAATTCCCCGTGTATGTAGATCAACGTACGCGGCCGAGTCCTTGGCTGCCGAAGAAGCTCTTGATGTGGGCCAGCTATGTCGAGGTTTTCTGTTGACAACGAGGGGTCATGACACTTTTGGACGCAATGCAGATCTCGGAACCAGTGCTGTGAAGATGACACTGACTGTGGATGCCAAAGATGTGCATGACAAAAGAAATTCAGACACGCCCAGCTTCGGAAGTCGAAAGTGCTTAGCCTTTACAGTGGCTTGGATGCGCTCCGTTCTCCGCAAGCCGAACACTGGGTAGATGGCGGCACGAAGGAGATGGACTTGTCTCACATGAGATCCATCATCTCAAAAGGGAACTTGGACCTTTAGCTACAGCCCAGAATTCACGAGGCAGGTGTTGAAGGCGCGCAGCCGCAAATCTCCAATCGCACAGGTGTCAGCAAGCGCTGAGATGCCTGGAGTCGTTGTGGATGGGAACGATCCCATCATGCCTCATTTGCATGGATTGTGTGCAAAGAATTGAAAAGAGAGGATGGCATTTTCTTCCTGGAATTGGCCGTCAAGTAGCATGCGCCGTGAAGAGCTTTTGTACTCCTAAGCCCCGCTTTAGCATGTCAGAATTTCCACTGCGCACGACATTTGGCAGATTTGAGCTTAGCCCGGCCGAGAAGGTGTGGCGTAAGCCAGAGAATGCAGTGGCCATGCAAGATTTGCCGAGTCAACACGAATTGATTGGATGTACAGTGCCCGTGTTGATCACTCTATTTCACAAGGACCAAGTACCCCAGCTCCATGCCAACAAGAGATTTGAAGGAATGTTGATTGAAACAATTGGCATGGAAGGTACTTGATCCACTCTTTTGCGATGGCCTATCGGCCCAAAACCCCTGGAGTACTTCAGCCGAAGCTACGTTCACCACAAGCGGAAAACCGATTGCATTCGTTTGCCCTGCACTTGTTTGCACTGATTTCTGCTTGACAAATATCATAAATCATATCTTCATATTCTGAATGATCAGCCAATGAATTATGCGGAGATCAGGAAAGGCAAGTCAACCCATTGAAACCATGACTTGATGCAAGGCCAAGTGGTCTATACGAGCTCTTGATTTGCTTGCTCCGAATTGTTGAAGCAGCAACAAAACACATTCTTATGGACACATTTTGAGACATTTTGGATACTACTGATCTATTTTGCATTTGACATAGTTTACGGATGTTTATTATGCGGTTTATATTTTTTGTTTTTCTTCCATTGGTTGGCCATTGATTGGCCAGATGTGAGGACAGGAATCTATTTAGACCTAGTTGCGTGCGAAAAAAACCCGAGCATCCGGCCTTGTTTGTATCATTTCTTTAGAGATTGAGGTGACATCAGGATGAATTTGATTGACAAATCAGACTTGGATTCTTTGCAGAGATCTTGCCTAAAATTGGATGAACAATTCCAGCTGTTGGCTCAAACTGGGAATGGAGCCGCGATGCCCAGGCTCTGCATTTTTCGCTTCAAAACAGTTTATATCCTACTTTTCTTGCGCTGACTTCATGCAAACTGCTCCGTTCATTTACAGATCTGTCCTGCCACAAATTTTCCTTTGGCTGTGATTGACAGGCAGCTTGCAGATGAGATGGCACACAAGGCTTTTGACTTGCAAAACTTTTGCATTGATGGTGTTTCAGAGATTCATTTCTTGTATTGAGGTTGGAAACTTTGGTGTAGATATAGTTGTAGTATAATTTTATATATTCCTTTTTTCACCATTTTCAGTTTTGTATAGTCTTGTTGGTCAAGTGTTTGTTTGACTCCCTCTGACCCACATGGGTTGCTTCAGTTTGGGTGGATTCTGGCTCACAAACATACATGGAGTAATGCATTGAGTCAACCCCGCCCTTGAGCATCCCATCAGAAAAGAAGTGCCAGTGTTTAGTGCTTGGGGGTTGTGGCCGGTGTTAGAAAAACGAATTGCACGCGCAGCACAACTTGCCAAAAATGACCTCTCAATGAGATTCCATTGACTGCTCGTGCCGTGGAGAGCAACATGGGCCGGAGTGAAGTTTCCTTGTTTATCTATCTATCTATCTGTCTGTCTGTCTGTCTATCTATCTGTCTATCTATCTCTCTATCTATCTATCTATCTATCTGTTTGGATCAAACAACAGCAGTCAGTCTTTGGATGATGAACTGCCAAGATGGAAAAAAAACAATGTGACGCTTTGAAAGCAGAAAAGGCAGCTCCGCATTCCTCGTAAGACAGCAGCTTGAGGCATGTTTCATTCACATTCTGAAAGGATTGCAGCATCCGCTTGGCAAATTCAATACCTCCATAAATATGCAGGTATTGGACCAACAAAGTGCCAGCAAACAATCTTATCCCTTCTGGTGGGTTTTTCATGGACAGGATCTTTGATTATTTTTTTTGATGCCTGTTTTAGTTTTTGCCCGTTTGGTTTTTGTTTCAGACTGTCCCTGAAGAGCCGATATGCGTATGGCACCCCAGTATTTGAACTTGTGTCCTTCAACTCGTGCCCGCCGAACTTGCAGTGCAGATGGCTTGAAAGAGCCTGGGTAGGGGCTGAAGGAAGGGGGCGTAGTTTCTAGCTTTCTCGTGTGCCGGGGGCTCAGACTACAGTTATGTCAAAAAGTCATGCTGGCTGAACCCACAGTCAGTGATTTGTTGCAAAGACACTTCTCTCTTTAAACCTGGAAAATTTGACAGGCCATTGTTTCGGCCATACCGAGTGAGTTGGGCAAATGGAGGCTCGTGCTGGAACCCTGGGGCGGAGTGTTCTGGCTGCCCTGTGCACTTTGCAAGCCCATGTGCATATCTTTGAAAGTTGAAAGGTTCTTCATGAATACATTGCCAGTGTCAAGGCGCGTACCTCAGAAATTTGATTTGTCAAGTCTTGGTCCATCTCAAAGTGATGTTTTGATGCCTGGCTGAAGGTCTATGCGTTTCCCATTGCAGGCATGTTACTTGGTCCGAACCTAAATTGGTGTCATGATGTCACGGAGCATCTTCAGCAGTACGCAGCACTACAATTTCTTTAAAACTAAAAACGCTGCTGAGTCCTGTATCCTGCCGCACTGATGGATCTGAGCCTCAGAACTACGGAACAGCAGAGACTCCGCAGAGACTTGTAGCCGTTGCCGTTGGACACGTTTCCTCTGTTTCAGTGCCATTGGCTGCTTGTCAGGCCTGGACGGTGATTGAAGGCAGGTCTGCTCCATACTCGAACAAGGTCGGGGATCCTTGAAGGCTGTCACAATAGAATCAACTCTGTACTTTGATGTATTTTGTGCAGGACTCTTCTGCTTGTCTCAGCAGCTAGTTAGTTGCTCACGTTTTTCTTCTTTGCAGGAGCAAGAAGGCCAGCAGAAAGATCAGCGAACCTTTGCTGCAAGATGATGGTACAAGATGCTACAAGGTAGACTTTGCCTCCACGTTATGTTTGAATGTGCTTGATGCTTTAGGAAATGGTGGTGCTGAAAAGGATGACTTTCTCAAGCCCCAGAAGAAGCAGAGCACAGAAGGAAGAACTTGAAGAACTAGTAGCAGACTTTCTGACTCAAAGCCCTGTGTCTGTAGATGGCTATAATATGCTATAATTATGTATTTACATGGATTTACGGTTACCATGGCGTTACCATACAGTATTCAGGTCATTTCAGGTCACTATGCTCGTTGCCCATTTTTGCACTGGGCTCCCCTGCCTTGGTTCCAGGAGCCTGTATCTCCCGAGCGAAGGCCTGGAAGCTACGACGTAGCGGCACTGTGGCGACCGTGCCAGCCTTGAACCGCTTGAACGCGCAGCGGTGTTTAGTTTCCATGCGACATGCGACCTTTGCAACAAATCCACACAAATCCTGCAAATGCAAGTGCCACCAAGGGCCTCGCTGTTTTCTTGAGCTTGTGGGCCTCAAGACGGTTCATGTCATTCTGTTTTGTTCAAAGCTTAGCGTCACTGGAATGACTCAATCCCTTGCCTCAGCGTGGCCATACATGGTGCCTCCTACACTAGGTCCCTGCTCCACCAAAGCTTCCCACACCGATCGAGGAGTCACGGGTGATGAGGGTCATGATGAGGGTCATGATGAGTCATGATGAGTCATGATTTCATGACGCAGCAATGGGAGAAATTGAGGAGCGTTCTACTCATTCTACTCCCACCTTGCTAACATGAGCTAACTCAGTGGCTGTAAATGAGGCAGCCCTGCTTGGTGTCTCATTGTTTACCCCTCCTGGCACTTCAGGTAGAAACCCGCTGGCTTAGATGTGCATTGATTGAGCTTTCCGGCTTTCCCCACAGGCTTCCGCCTTCTCCTCTACCTTTGCATCTTATACACTTGCAGCCCAGCCAGTGGTAGCAGCTGGCTTAGCCTGGCCATGCAAACACATGAACAGTGGTTCAAGCCAAGATTAGCCTCGTCGCAGATCTGCTCGGCTTGAAGTTTGCATTCGTTTGCTTTGGCAGAATTTCATTTTTTTCTTCCTTTAGCATTGCAAGCCTTGCTTGCAATGGCCGTCCGTCGCAAACTCAATGAGCGCCAGGCGTTGTCAGCTCTGACAACAGTCACTGTCGTCCCATTCTGAGTTCAGTTGCAATTTTCCCTGAAATTGCTACAATATCTAAGCAATTTGAAGTATCGACTTTCAACTAGCATGGTTATCTCTCGCGCTGATTTGCAAAGGTAGGAGTGGTGTGCAAGCAGACCCTTTTTGTGCGTACAGGTCTCAGATGAGCTCCCAATTTATTCTGCAGTGATTTCACAGCTGGCCTTGGATCAAACAGGCTGTTGCGAATGCGCAGAATGCTTTGGCTCGTTCTTGCGTTGCAAGCTACCGCGTCTACCGCCTCGCGAGGTCGCCCTCACAAATGGACCCTTGGCAAACGATCGGGCATGAGAGGCCTGAACTGGGCCTGATTCGTCCTTAACCCTTTCAAGCCTACAGAACAGGGGGGACGGTGGTCGCCACGGAGGTTTGAAACTGTAGCAACAACTTAGCACGACTTGCAAGATTTCAGCAGTTCCTAGAACTTGGGATATTATTTCGGTTGGATTCTGGTAGGCTCTTTGACAAAGCGCGCAGCCACGTTCACAAAGTCAGTTGATGTCAGGGACTCGAAGCTTTGAGATCGATTCCTTGGTTCATGGACAAATATGTTCGGTGTCAAGCTGCATCGAGTCACCAAACTCCTCAGGTCAACCAATGTGGATTTTTCGATCGGCAGCTTTCTGGACCGCAAGCAACTGAGAAAGCTGATGCAGCATGAGGATATGAAGCTTGTGGCTACCGATGGTTCCAGTGTATCTCAGGTGGACTGCCGCAGAAGCACCAGCAGTTAGTGAGGACGTTCACCATAAGTCATAAGTAAGTATCAAAAGCAAAGTTATTTTCCGCATGAAGAGAGATATTGCCTGGACGTAGATGAATGCACGTACAGTTATAAACATAGTACCTGCTTTTTTCCCGTTTTCATTCTATTCTATGCATTTTGATTTTACCATTTTTTTGCTAGGCTCTTCTCTACTAGGCCGTGTCATGAGGAGCTGGATGGTGCCAAGAGCGAAGTTTCGCTATGGCATGATGTTGATTTATACGTCTGTGCCTTGAGTCCATTGAGGCAGTAACTGCCACAGATGGCCACAGACCACACGTTTCAGAGTCTTTTCAGACAGGACTCGTCACGGCTCCGGCTGTCAAGGTGAAGTCCTGGCTGGACGAGCCGACTGCACTTTTGCGATATGTCCCACCCTCGATGCCTCGATGCCTCGATGCTCGATTTCCAACACTTTTGTCTCACCATATATCATATGGACAATATGGATATCACTTTTGTCATAACATATGGATCTGATCGGAACGGATCGCAGCCATGCTCGGTGAGGTGAATGAAATGCCCATAGGCACTTTGCGCAAGTACGAGGTGCAGCCACTTGGCAACAAAGGCTGGTTACGCTCACCGTCATGGCGGTTATGGAACATGATGGAACAAGTGAAGCCAGAGATTGGATGAGATTGGCATGTTTGCTTTATTTTGCTCTTTAGTTGCTTTATGAATCTTTATGATCTTTGTGTTTGTTTTCAAACTGAGGCCTGGGGCACCTCACAATGCCATTGAAGAGGACAGCTGTGGCTGCACCAGCCTTGCTTCGTACAATCCGTTTTGGACTTGTTCCAACGGTGGCTGTGCTAACTTTTTGGCATTTTGTTGCCGTGGCACTGCATGCCCTGCATGCGCTGCATGCCATTCATTGACAGGATGTGAAGGGCTCCAAAAAGCTTGCAAAGTTCGGTCTGCTACTTGGAACTGTGAGGCCGTGCTAGAACAGCATTTGAGAACAGGCTTCAATTGTCTTGGACTGAGGAAAGCCAGTGCCATTCAACTACGGGTGCTTTCCGCAGACATATCGAGATCCGGAAAAGGCAGCCAAGATGAGCGGAACTTGTGAATACTTTTGATATTTTTGGAAAACTCTTGCAGCAAAAACTGAATGCATGGAAGGCCTGTGAGCTCTACTCTGCTCCTGGTGACGATGATCCTTTGGACGTGTTGGGTGACCCAGGTGGAGCTTGAACGGCTTGAACGATTGCAAAAGGTTACTTTTTGATGCAAAAACCTTTTGACAGCATTTTCATATATTCACCCCGCTTCGCGTGGGGTGGCCGCCCACACCGCAGGTTTATTTCGGTCCGTGAGAGGGGCTAAGGGTGGTTTTCCCCCGTGGGGGCTCCCCAAGCTAAGAATTTTCACTTTCCCCCTCCGTGGGGGCTCCCCAAGCTAGGGAATTTTCACTTTTCCCCCCCGTGGGGGCTCCCCAAGCTAGGGCAGCTCCCCAAGCTAGGGAATTTTCACTTTTCCCCCCCGTGGGGGCTCCCCAAGCTAGGGAATTTTCACTTTTCCCCCCCGTGGGGGCTCCCCAAGCTAGGGAATTTTCACTGGGGGCTTCCCAAGCTAGGGAATTTTCACTTTTCCCCGCCGTGACAGCTTCCCAAGCTATGGAATTTTCACTTTTCCCTCCCTTGGAGGCTCTCCAAGCTGCGGAATTTCAAATAGCTAGACAACGACGCCTAGATAGTCCCCCAAATCCCGTGTTCTTTGAATGTGTTTCCATGTTTTTGCAATGGTTTCCTTCAAAGCACGGTACTTTACACTTTTGTCGCCATAAAACCGGTCGAAAACATCATGTTCGACAATGCTTCCAATTCCCTTATCTCCCCAACCGTTGAAAATACCGCTATTTACAGTGTTTTCTTCAATTTTTCCATGTGCCAATGCCGGTAGCCAACTCCAACATATATATAAGAAATCCTTCCAAAACATTTTTTTTGACAGTGTTTTTCCAATGTTTCCAGTCAAACAGACGGTAATTTACACGTTTTTTGCAATAAAGGCAGTAAACCCTTCCAAAACATTGTTGACAGTGTTTTTGTAATGTTTCCAGTCAAGCATACGGTAATTTACACGTTTTTTGCTATAACGTCAGTCCAAAACACTTGTTTTTGCAGTGTTTTCAATGCTCTGGCATCCAAAAACCCTGCAAAATCTTGCTATGTACAATGTTTTTTTCATTTTTGGCCGTTTTTCCATTGCCGGAAAGCTACCAAAATGACCCAAAATTCCATTTCAATACCCTCTTGCGCTCAGACACCCAAAAATCCTCGAAAAATGTCGAAAACACCACCGTATTCTGGTCTCGGTGCGAAACCGTTTTTGGCCCCCCCCCCAGCTAAAGCTGATATAGCGACTGCTATATTAACAAATGTCATTGAGCATTTAGTGTTGCTGTTGCCCCCCAATAAGCACGCCTTCACCGCCAAAGCGGTGTGGGCGGATTTTCATGGCTTTGCGATTTGGAGCCTTAGGATTGATTTGGCAGATGCACCGACAGAGGCAGTGTTTTGTTTGTGATGGTCAGAATGGAAGTGGAAGGACAATGAACACAAACCCGAACAAAACCGAACAAACCACGCTCGGAAGATCTCAAAAGGTCTCAAAAGATCCCAAAAGACTTGAACCATATCTTGAACCCACAGCTTTTGAGGCCACGGAGTCGCCACAGTCTGTTCCATTCGCGTTTCCTGACAGGTTGGGACCATTGTCCGGTGCCGCGTCCTAGGTGCTGTTTGTCTTATTGATGAAGGCTCGATGGGGAAGTATGATCAGTTTTTCTGGAGAGCGAGATGACATGATCTCCTGTGGGTTCAACAGGTTCAGGGAGAATCAGCTCAGACTCCCGCAGACTCCCGCAGACTCCCGCAGACTCTTCACTCACTTCACACAGCAAAGTTTCGACTCATTGGCTTTGATTTCCTCCCCTTTTCAGGCCAGGCTGACTGGAAAGTGCTGGTGGTAAATGTTGATTCGTGCTGTTCCCAGTTTGGCCGAGGAAGTAGTTCTGTCAGGGCCATGAAAAAAAAACATCTGAGGAAGCGGTTCTTAATTCATGAATATGGTTGTGAAATGCCTTCAGCCTACTTCTAAAGAATTTTAAACAAATAAAAAAAGCGAAAACCAATCCAAAAAAAAAGCAAAACCCAATCCAAACCTCAATTAGAAAAAAGCAAAAAAATGCCAAAAAAAAAGCAAACTCCAATCCAAACCTCAATTAAAAAAAAGCAAAAAAAAAGCAAAAAAAAAGCAAAACCAAAAGCAAAAAAAAACAAACTATTTGTTTTCACTTTTTTTTCGCTTTTTTTTGCTTTGTTTTTGCTTTTTTTTGGCTGTGTTTTTGCTTTTTTTTTCCGCCTTTGTTTTCGCATTTTTTTTCGTTTTTTTTTGACCTGATGACCTTTGTTCGTTTAAAAAAAAGCGAAAAAAAGCGAAAACAAAGCGAAAAAAAAGCGAAAAAAAGCGAAAAACAGTGAACACAAATAGTTTGCTTTTTTTTTGCATTTTTGTTGCTTTTTTTTTGCTTTTGGTTTTGCTTTTTTTTTGCTTTTTTTTTTTGTTTGTTTTTTTCTAATTGAGGTTTGGATTGGAGTTTGCTTTTTTTTTTGCATTTGTTTTGCTTTTTTCTAATTGAGGTTTGGATTGGGTTTTGTTTTTTTTTGGATTGGTTTTCGCTTTTTTTAGTTCAATTTATTTTTCTATCGTTTTATAGAAGTTGCCTGTAAGCCGTGTCACAAGAATATGGTAATTGTTCATAGATTGCATAGGCTGATCGGCTGATCGTTGTACACCCAGGAAAACAGCCCTGGCAAATGCTCGCTCTATCGAAGATGTGGAGCGTATTTCGTTTGAATCCCATCTCCTTGGTGAGGGAATTCCGAGTCAAGGTTGAGCACCGCACAGATAAGTCACGATACGTTTTTGGCTTCATGAGACATGTCGTCACGTGGATACAGCTGTGTGTGAGTACAGATCCCTCTTGGGCTTGGCTCTTGATTTCTCTTTGGGACATGAGGCCGGGACGCATTCAGGCGTGTTGGTCATGGATGGACGAGCTGGTGCCTTACTTTCCTTACAGATAGGACCAGGTAGGACCAGGTACCAGGTAGGATTCAAAACCCTTCGTGAGCTGCTCAAGCATCCATTTCAGTCACTCTAAATCCATTTCACAGGTCTCAGTCGGTCTCAGTCGGTCTCAGTGACAGTTCTCGACTCCAGGTTAAAAAGTAGTGGTGGCAAAGCGAAACTGCACCGTCACATTCATGATGCGGAATGCCATCATCCCAGTGATCCCAGTTGCCAGTTGTTGCTCCATTGTATCTTCGCTGCTAGTTGCTCGGTTCACCGCAAGAATTCCGTTGCTGTCTAGGTGCACTGAAGCTCATCCAAGAGGCCTTGAGATGGCTTGAGAGATGGCTTGAGAGATGGCTTGAGAGATGGCTTGAGAGATGGCTTGATGCCAGGGTAGTTGGTAACAATTGGTACATATGTGTCTCATGTCGGGTGTAGATAGGAAGAGATGCATGTCTTCGGGACATAGACCTGAAGTGTTCCGCAGCTCTTCAGGACCATGCCTCTTGGAAGGAGCTGGTGAATTCAGCTGGACCTGATGGAACTGCTCGCAGGGAGCCAAGTCATAGGAAGCGTAGCAATGCCTGGTATACCTTTTTCATCCCTCTTCAGTTTCTCACGTTGTTAGTGTATTCATTAATATTGAATATCGAAGCTGCATGAAGCTTTCAGAAGCCAGGCTCCGTCTGAGGTGGCCATTGGATTTGCAATCCTCAGAATGAAGATGCTGCAGCAGTACAGGCCAGATGACTGCCCAAAATAATTTGAAACGTGGATCATTTCGCATCATTTCGCGCTAGCGCCGTGTTTCTTTCTGCCACTAACTCAGATTGAAGTTTGGGTAAGCTCGCATTGCTGTCACTGGACTTCACTTGTCTGGTCAGGTCTTGAAGCTTGGTTGGGCACCTCCCTGTGTTGCCAGGAGCTCAGAGCAACTGACCCATCACCCCATCACCCCATGACCCCATCTCCCACCTTACCCGACTGCCCGACGTCCACTTCGAGCCATGAAGTTGGACCATGTTGGACCCAGGTTCCGGGACAACAAGTTGGCTCAAAGAGCATGCTGGCTGGAGCTGCGCGGGTGTGGTCCACAACCAGTGGTGTCAGTGGTGCCGGTGAGTAAGCAAGTTTCCCAGTGTAGGTGCAAACCCAACGACCAAAACTTTATTTTTTATTTTTGTTCAGGATAGACACTTCAACGGTTTGCCTTTTTGAGTTGTGAATGAGCAGGGAGTGGACGGAGTGGACGGAGTGGACGGAGTGGACGGAGTGGACGGAGTGGACTGGAAGTTACTTATGTTCTTGGAGACAAGATATAGTCTTGCCAGGAGCAAGCATAACAATTCATAACAGTTCCCCATATAAGGGACTCCACCAAACATCACCAAACCAAACTCACTCCGATGCCTAAAACTGACAGTCTGATTTTTCTGCAGCAGGTGTCAGTTCTAGCACGAGCAGCCAGGGCCGTACAGCTTGCTCGAACACAGTGAGACTGCACATGAATACACTGGCCATAGAATTCTTGGAATCATACAGATTCAAGTTCTTTTGGCCCAGTGCACGTTCCATACATTTCAACAGCTGTGCATACGAATTGCTGAAACCGAAGAATTTCAGCAAGTGCAGAGATATCTCGGACCATCATTGGACATGATCAAAGATGGTCTTGGACCATGTGAAGTCATTTTTTAGAGTATTGGTGGACTGGAAAATCAGTCTAGAGAGTATCTCTGCTACAGCATTTAGTGCTTTGCTAAGTGGCTGTTCCGGGCAAGCAAAGGGGGACACCCATGTGCCGTCCTTCGAAGACTGCAAAACAGCTTGGACAACTTGGAAGCATATGTATAGGAAAACAGCCAGTGTCCAGCCTATGTACTACCCAGATGATCAAAGAATCTCAAAATGATTCTATTCCAAGGCATGCGTATATGTAGTATACATAGCATTCAATATTATGTATGTATTAATTATGTATATATATATATAATATTTATACAGTACACTTATATACACAAAATATGATACATAGACCTAAAATGATGTAAATATACACGTGTGATTTTGAGGAAACCGCCGCACAGAAGCTTTTGGACCCTTTGCATTTGCCCATCGACGAGTGCCAATTCAAAGGCCAGGATCTCCCGGCCACACTTGACCTATGTCAAAGTGCTTGCAAGTTGGGAAGACAGAAGAAGGATGAAGAAGGATGAAGAAGGATGAAGAAGGTTGTTCAGTGTTAAACGTCGTAACGTTGTGTTCTTCTAGTGAACGACCTAGAGTCCATCATGGAGTCCAGCATGGCCGACTCGATTTTGAAGCTGCCTCCAAGTGTCAAAGGATGTTTGACAGTGACAACTTGATAGCCTTACATAGCCTTCATAGCTTGATTGACAGCTACATTCTGCATATAATTGATATTCATTGTATGAAGTTGATTCAATCATTTTCGAAAATCACTTCTCAGATTACTGTGGGGCAGCTGGCGGCCCTTTTCCAAAGAGTTTATGCAGCCGAAATGAACTTGGTGCTTTGGTGGACTCGTCGTGGACATCTGGTAGGACCATGATGCTCGGAAGCATATGAGCGTTTATTGTAGCAAAGCCTCGGTCCAAAATCTGTGATTTCGCACCTCGAATTGATGAATCGATCATAATAGATGTGGGATTGAACACGGAGCATGCTGAGAAGACATTTTTGGCATCAACACTCTACCGGCCATTTCCATGCTATCTATTTTGCATGTATCGTAAGTCTTTTGGTTCCAGAGGTGAATGTGCATGGACTATCATGGACTTGTGCTCAATGTGCTCAATGTGCTCATTCACTTTGAATCAGCTGAGGATGTCAGTGGCCTGAGGGACTCTGATTGGTTACCGCGTTGGTCGATTTTCCAATTCTTGATGCACGTGCTGGCAGAGAACCACTGTGTCGTCTGCCAGTTGACTTTGCGTGTGGCGGAACAGTTGGCACTTTGTGTAACGGTGTAACATGGTGTAACCATGTGTAACCTATTAAACACATTTAGATTTAGATATGAATTTGAGTGCAATGGCTGCCTTTCATGTCCTGAGAAATTTGGGCTTCATGTTTGTTGATAGCCGACTGAGTGGTGTACCAGACTGGACACCTCATATCCAGGCGTTGCACCTATTGTACCTAGTATTGGTGACTACGGGTTGAAGCACAGCTGAATTTAGCATTGTGGAAATCTGAAAAGTCTGCGAAATGAATCGAAATGACTTCCTTTGCAGGTTAAGTTTGAAGCTTCACCCTATCTCTTCCTCACAGATTGCAGCAAAGAAGGGGAATCTGTGTACAGCGTATTGCGAGTCTGCCAAGACGTACAATATCGGAGCATTTCCACTCAGCTGATTCAAGTATCAGCTGATTTGAACGGACCAGCGGCCTGGCCAAGTTTGCAAGCCTGGCTCTCACGTTCGGCTCCGTGACCCGATCACTGGCCTGCAAGATGCAGCTATGCGTGGCGCAATGGCCCAAGGGCCGTGATTTTGGACAACTGTCACTTTTGGATTTGTTGTTTGTACATATCACTGTATATAGTCACATGTTCACCCTTACTTTACCGTATGCATGGCTCAAGAAAACAAGCGCCTAGTTGTTGTGCTTTTCAGGTTGTTTAGCCTGTCAAACAGGTTATCAGCCGTAGCGTAACTTTCTCTTTGTAGGCATGTCTGCCCCCTCGGGTTCTTCCACCGAGGAAACCGGGCGCACTTCCTCTGACGCCGCCATGGCCAACCCCGGAAGCTTGCCTATCTCGAACACCCCATTTACCATTGATATAAGCACACCGACAAATCAAGAAGCTTAAGGGACCGACGCCACTTACCACCAATGAGTAACGCAGTTGTGCCTTCTCATGTGGGTTTCAATCACCGTGGTTATGTCCCTCAAGCCGCTCGGGAGGGTGGGCCGCCGACTCGCCAATTGAACCAAATGAATGTTCACAACACTTTCCATCACAATGTGCAAATGGATAATCCTCAAGTGAACTTTGTCGAGCAGAATTTGCATGTCCATTCGCATGACCCTGCCATGACAAGCCTTGTGGAAACAGCGGCCGAGCTCCGCCATCGTGAGGTGTTGGCTCACACCGAAGCTCAGGCTGAAGCTATCCACACGGCCAAGACTGAGGAGTTGAAGGAAGCTTTGCGAGTCCGCGAGGGCATTGAAAGTCAGAGGGCCCTTGATGCTATCAGAATCAAAGAACAAGAGCTTTTGAATATGGGTGCTCAATATAAAGAGAATTTAAAGCATGAGGCGCACGAACATGTTAGGCTCCGAGAAGCTCAAATGAACGAGAAAATTCAAGCCTATCAACGTGTCATTGATGCCAATCTTCGACAATCACTTTCCAGTAAAGAACAAGAGATACTTGAGTTGAAGAGGCAGGCTGAGGAAGATAGAAGGATTCAGAATGACCGCATCACTCAACTTGAACATATGGTACAAGCCCAGATGCAGCACAATCTGAAATTGCAAAGTATGCTTGATTCCCAGTTTGCCCAAGTTCGTCCAAGTCCTGGTGTTGAGACTGCCGCCATGACTGTCACAGCCGAAGCTCATACTTCATCAACTATTCCGGATTTCGAATATGTTCCGCCTACCCGCAAAGCTGCGCCTGCAGCACCGCCTCTGAAAGTAGCCAATCCACCAATCGAGTTCTCTTCACCTGATCTTGATACTTTTGAAAGAGATGGCATTGAAATCATCTATCATGACCCAAAGTACAAGACACCTATTCATGTGAAGAAAGAACCGGATGTAGCTCAATCATCAAATGATGAACGCCTTCCGCGAGGAACGGCCGCCACCAGACGTAGCGGTATCCCTCCTAATGAGAAGATCAATTCCCCTGCACCGACTCATCTATATTCGCCGACCGAACTAGGCCCAGAAGACTACTTCGATCCAGGAGATGATGACGACGGGGACGATCCAGGGGATGGAGGAGATGGCAACGGAGGGGACGGGGGTAATGGTCCACCACCACCTGATCCAAATGAAAAGCCTACGGGGGATAGGAACAAGAAAGTGCCCAGAAAAGATAAGGGCGGTTCCGGCCCTCCGGATGGTGATGATGGAGGTGACGACAATCCTGATGATGATGATGATGATGATGAAAGGTTTAGGCGCAGAATGATCAAGTTTCTTGGAGGGTATGTTGATCAGAGGACCGATGACAAACCCAAGGTCAAAGAAGCTGATACTATCAAAATCCCGGCTTTCCCGTTGGCAGAGACCTACCGTAATTGGAGAATCAAGACACGTGAAGCAGTTGTAGCAGCATCCACCGATCCCGACAGTGCTTTCAAATGGGTAAGTGATTCTTGGAAAGAAGATCAGACTCTGGAAGCGCTCCGGAAGGTTGCGCCGTTTGCGACTCTTGATGCAAAGTTACTTTCTGCACTCACAAACATCATCACTGGTGACTTCGCCCGTAAAGTAGATACCTTCAAAGAAACCGAAGCCACTGCTGGACGAATTGTAAGAGGAAGACAAGTGTTGTTCATGCTTCACGATCATTTCAGTACCAACATCAAGCATGGAGCGACCTATGCCCTTCAAGATTTGTTCAGTGTCCAATTGCGTGGGGAAAATTTGAAGTCTTTCATTTCGAACTGGGACCAAGTATTGGCTGTTATTGTTCAAACCCCTGATGAAAGTGTATTGGAGACGCTCTTCTACAAGCAAGTGAAGAATTGCAAGGCTATCCAACACGACATGAATGAGTATCACAGAGCTGATGAAGGAACCGAAACACGAAACTACAGTTTCCTTGTTTCTGCCGTGCGACGCCACCTTGACCGTGAGAGGTTGGAGGCAAATCGTGATCGATTTGCCAAAGGTCTTTCAGGTTCCAGTCACCCCTCCGCTCCAGCAGTCGAGGGCAAGACAGGATTCATCCCCAAGGGGTATTGTGTGGCATGGAATAAAGGGGGCTGTAGCAAAGACAACTGTACTTACAAGCATGAAACCCCCAAGCCACGTGATAGAAGTCGCAAACCTAGCAAGACTAGGGGTCGTTCTTCTGAACGTTCTGGTTCTCCCAAACCAAAGGGGAAAGGCAAGAAGATTTGCAAGTTTTGGAAGCAGGGACGATGTGATAGAGGAGCTGATTGCAAATTCCTTCATGAGGGTTCGGTTGGTAAACCAAGACAAGCTACTCCTGCCCGTTCGGCTAGTAGCGAAAACAAAAACAAAAGAAAGAATCCCAAGAACCCGAAAAGGAAGGGATCCCGAAGCTCTAGCCGCTCTAAGAGCCCCAAGAGCCCGAAGTCCCCAAAGTCTAAAGGATCTGGGGCCAGTTCATCTAAGCCGTCACCTGCCGCAGTTTGCCTTGTTGCATCCATGCTTGCATCCGTGTCTCAGGCATTTTGTATCCCTCAGCCAAGAGTCGTTTGTCCATCGATTCGTTTTGATGACTCACCGGACGTGTCTCTTGTGAAAGCCCGGGGGAACTTGAGGCCAA